AAAAACGCAGCGCGTTAGACGGCAGTGATGTGATAATGTTTTACTTTCGCAAAGTTTAAAAGGATGCTGTCGAAAAATTACCAGGGAGTTGTCTTACCGCAGAATGAAAATTTCATTATTTATGTTAAATGCTACACATTGCTGATTAAAGATTTTTCTCTAGAGTCACTGTTACAATGTGCAATAAGCAATGTTTGTGAACAGCAGAGCTTGACAAATTAAAAAAAAATATATTCTGACATGCTCTATATGGACCAGAAGCATACAGAACTAATTATAGACGTGTAGTGCTCTTGTATAATTTTTTTCATTACTTGGCCATTTTCGATAAAACACCCTGTTGATCATGGAAGATGTAAAATATAGGAAGCAGTGCATGGTGAACACAAAACTGCAATGCGAATCCCCATAGCACAAAAACTTTATTCCGTTAGATAAGAAACCGCGCATCTATCCAATGTGATACTGCGAGACATAGCACTCATCAGATTCATTGGCGCCGCACAAAGGTACATAGCAAAGGATTGCCCTCTGCGAACAAAATCAGACAAAAAACTACAACAAAAAATAACACTTTTGTGACACAATGATTGCCCACACAACACAAACAGAGATAGTCTGTGGCAGCATGGAACTTTGATACACTGTATACTATTGTCACATTCTAGGAAGCATTGCACCAATATGCAAGCTCGCTAGACAATATACCAGCGTTTTCACTCAGGCTCCTAGAAGCCGCTTTCAACTTGTGAATTACAAGTTACTCATGCAGTTCGTGCTTATATCATGAAGTGAATCCCACTTGCAATATCGTCGGCCCAAAATAATTCTTAGGTATGCCCGGCGATGGGTATACGTGTCTATGTATCGGCAAATGAACCATAGAGAGCACATGCACGTAGTGATTGAATCGGTACTAAAACGCATTCTTGGTTTCTCTAAATCACCTATAAATCAGTGATTAAACTTTCCAGTGTAATCTCTCGTGCTCACGTACATTTGAGAACGAGATTTACTACTCGTGTCTTGAGTGTACTCTTATCCAGAACAATTTATAACAATTGCGAAAGTGGCCAAAAATCCTGGTGCAGCCTGCGCCGAACGGTGCTTACTCGTTTTCTGGTCTTCTCTTCTGGAGGTACACTGAAGTATACGGGACAGAGCCACTTTTATTAAATGCAAACCATTTCTTAGCGAACTTCAGTGACTTTAAGCGTATCTATCTATCTATCTATCTATCTATCTATCTATCTATCTATCTACTATCTATCTATCTATCTATCTATCTATCTAGCTATCTATCTATCTATCCTATCTATCTATCTATCTATCTATCTATCTATCTATCTATCTATCTATCTATCTATCTATCTATCTATCTATCTATCTATCTATCTATCTATCTATCTATCTATCTATCTATCTATCTATCTATCTATCTATCTATCTATCTATCTATCTATCTATCTATCTATCTATCTATCTATCTATCTATCTATCTATCTATCTATCTATCTATCTATCTATCTATCTATCTATCTATCTATCTATCTATCTATCTATCTATCTATCTATCTATCTATCTATCTATCTATCTATCTATCTATCTATCTATCTATCTATATCTATCTATCTATCTATATATCTATCTATCTATCTACGACTTTTAGCTGTCCTGTTTGCTTTGATAATTCGATATTTGGCTCGCAAAAGCCAAATATTGAATTATCGAAGCAAACAGGAGAGCTAAAAGTCGTAGATAGATAGATAATGGTATAGATACCAAAATTGGTTTGGCGTAACATGATTGTATGACGAGAATACCTGACTAGTCATAACATGAAAATCATGACATGTATCTCATGAATGTCATGATATACATTTCATGGTCTTGCTGCTCTTGCGGTGGTTTCGTTCACATGATGTATCGCAAAAGTGGTATAGTATATACCACTTGACTGCATGGCTAATATAATTGACATACCCTAACGTGGAAATTATGACGTGCATGTCATTTAAGTGATGATTACACTCCATGCTCATGGCTCACTCGTGGTCATTTTGCTAGCTTCACCCACACTAAATTTGGTATTACGGGACGTGAAATAATGACGAAGTTATATGACTGGTGCACAAATGATAATAATTGCATGCATGTCATGTAAGAACATGACTACATGCCAGGCTCATGATGCGCTCGCGGCCGTTTCAGTAGCTCCACATATACCAAATTTGATACCACGTGACGTGAATAGACGACGAAGGTAAATGGCACGTTCAAAAACTATAATCATGACGTGGAAGTCATGGACGGTATAGTTTACGTCCGCCTCGTAACGTTGTGCTGATTTTAATGTGACATATCAACGTTACTCATTGGTGCTTCGCATATCATCGATTCCTGTACGTGGTATCTGCCAGTTGTTTTTTGAATGCGAAGCATTTCTTGACGAAATACGGCGACTTTGACCGTACCTGTCATCTCGTATATATCTATCTATCTAGCCGCTCACGGCTTTTAGATCTCCTGGCCGTTTCGATAATGGTACCCATAACAAAATTGGTATTGCCTAACATGACTGCATGACAAGCATAAGTGGCTAGTCATAAAACGAGAATCATGACATGTATGTCATGAATGTCATGTTTTACATATCATGGTGTTGCTGCTTTTGCGGTGATTTCGTTCACATGATATATTGCGAAAATATCATGGTGCAACGTGACCACGAGGCGAACATAAGTGACAGACCCTAACGTAGAAACCATGACATGCATGTCATGGAAGTCATCACTACACGTCACGCTCATGGTGCGCTCACGCTGTCGTTTCGCCATAGCTTCACACATACCAAACTTGGTATTACGGGACGTGTGCTATTGAAGAAGGTATATGACTGGTGCAAACATGATATTCATGAGATGCATCTAATGTCAGAACAACTACATGCCACGCTCATGATGCACTCGATGCCGTTTCGCTAGCTTCACATATACCAAATTTGGTATTACGTGACGCGAACGAACGACGAAGGTAAATGACACGTCCAAGCATGATAATCATAACATGCGTGTCATGTAAAACATGACAACATGCTACGTTAATAGCGTGCTCAGGGCCATTTCGCCTGCTCCACATGTACCAAACTTAGTATCCCGTGACGTGAATTGACGACGAATATAAATGACACGCCCAAACATAATAATAATAACATTGAAGTCGTCTACGGCATAATTGACGTTCGCCTCGTAACATTGTGCTGATTTTAGAGTGACATATCAACCTTCCTCATTCGTGCTGCGCATATCATCGATTCCCACTGTACGTGGGATCTGCCAATTTTCTTGTCTTTTGAATTGGCTTTTACAATATGTTGAAACCAGTGGTAATGCCATTCTTTAAATTTGCTTGCTAAAGTAAGTGTTAACGTTCTGACTCTTTTGTGTCAGAGAAGCGTCCATGTTTTAGTTCTTTGTTGTCCAATAAAATTGTTTTTCCGAATGTGGCGTTGATTTGATATCTGGGGTTTAACGTCCCAAAACCACTATATGATTATGAGAGACGCCGTAGTGGAGGGCTCCGGAAATTTAGACCAGAATGTGGCGTTGTTTGTTAAAAAATGCCTGCCATAAAATGGCTCCCGTTCTTCTCGCAGGCCTGTTAAAACAAAATGTGAGAAGTTCGACAGAGAAAGCGTCCAATATTTTTTTTTGCCGCACATACGGAAGTGAACGACCGGTTCCCTTGCATCCCCCCTTCTTATTTAGTTTCTGGTTGTCCCGTTACTGACTCTCTATGGAACTTCTTGGACAAGATTATTTGGTAGAAAAGCATTGTTTTTGCTGCACACGCACTAGCTTAAATTTACTGCAGTGTAAAAATTTGCTTTCCATTGCTGAACAACTCGCCTCTTGTGCTGCATTCCACTTTGTTCTCACTTTATTCTAATAATTGAGCACGCTCTATATTTCTGGGCAACTTTCTTTCCATTTGCCACGAAAAGATTTTCGTTCGAACGAGTAGGCCTTACCCTCTCCTCCTCTCCGAAACAAAGTCCTGGCTACGTGTCTGCTGTGCACTATCAACCCTCTCCGTGCCATGCGCTGGAGGTAGACAACATGTATAACAAGATATTTTCACTTGATTTTGAAGTTTTTGTAGGTCAGCATCTGCATTTAGGGTAGAGTTAGGGTGGTTTGCAATGGATGTGTGCCTGGCTTTCTGCACCGTTCGGTGCCTCCAAGTTTTCATGCAAAATCTGGTCAATAAACAGTTGAATGTTTGCACTTCGCTTGACCCCTTCCCCCGTTTCTTCGTCGCGCAAAAGCAACCTTATTTTTGTGGCCTGTGCAGAATGATGAGCCAGCCCACCACAATAGATATTACTACAACTCAGCACAGGTAATTGAATTTGCAAAGTCGGCCTCCTGCATACAGGCTAAATTGCGGTCAGATTCTCTGGACGACAATTCACTCGTCTACGCGAACCACGTGCGACTGACAGCGAACTGACCGCCCCAGCTTGCGTTTTCTCGACCCGAAGTCTTCCTGTGACGCGAGAATTGTGTTTACACGTCACTGCGAAGCCGCCCTCTCGATACCAAAACTGAAATAGCTGTTATAAAATAGTGGTGTTAAAAATACATTCAATGTATTCGCATGCACCACGACGCTCTTTTTAGGGTTCTCGACACCTGTGTTTTACTTGAAGCAACAACCCAGAAATATTTAGAATTCGTATCGGTACTATTTTACACATCTCCGCTTTGAAATGTTTTAGTGTTTTTTTCTCTTTCTTTGTATTCGTACTCTCGCCTATCAGAGTTATTTCATCCCACACTCGACAAATCGGCGCACGTCTCTTGGGAGTGAATCACGAGAGGATGACGAGAGTGCGTGCTGGTTCATGATGATTTCTGAACGAAAGTATTGGAACAGCTTCGTTTTCAACATGCATCAGTGCATAGAGAAAAAAGAGAACAGACGCAAAGGGCACATTTTGTGAAATTGTTTATTTTATGCGACTTTGCAAGGCTGCTCAGAAAGAAAAAAAAATACATTCATAGGTCACTCGCATCCTTCTGTGAACACCGTTGGAAAGGGCCTTCTGATGTCCGCCGAATACAGTATTAAAACTGCAGTAAAAGGAGCGTTGGGGCATAGGAAGGCACGACGCAGGGGGACGTCGCAATTCGCGTGGGCTCTATAGAAACGCGAAGGGGATAATGCACTCGCAGAACAGTAAAACTAAATGAGTGCGGTAACTGTGGCTTCAGCGTGTTCCGTTTTTTAAAATTATTTTTGCCTCTGGTGCCAGCATCAGCCTAGACTCGTATTGTTGTCCTTCTGCCTCTTGGAATGCACAACGAGGTGAGTGGCTGTGAATGCGCATGGAATCGGACGCAAATAGTTTCGTGCTGGCTCACAGCGGCGCGAGTTCGAGGCATTAGACCCCAGTCGGTTTCTATCATGTCACGGCGTCCCCCAGTTAGGACGAAAGCTGCTCGTTACAAAGAAGGAGAACAGGAAGGAACTCTACATTAAATTTTTGGATAGTACAAAGGCCCATAAGATCTAGCACAGGGAACGCATGGCTCTTCGCGGAGGAAAAAAGCTCCGTACATGGTATCGACGTACATGTCCAGCTATAACAGTTCGTGTTGATTATAGTGAATGCATATAAAATTTTCGCCTTGCCAGATAAGGGACAAAATGTTGCCAGCAATGGTAGCACTGAAATGTGAGCCGTTATTAGGCTGGAGCGGTTTTGCTTGGAATGTGAAAGCTAGGCATCGCCAAGGTTTATTGTGTAACGGGTCTTAACTACCGGCGTTCACTTGTGACAGCTTGTTAATGCGTACATGAGAATTTCTTGGATCGTTGAAATAGTAAACTCATTAGCTTGTGAGCAAAATACTTCCCTGCAATAATGAAGGGCTTCGTTGATCCCACTTACTAAACTACGGTGGTTATTAATCGTGCATATGTAGAAACTGATTGACAAAACCGAACTTGCGTTCAGCTTTACACTACTATTGAGCCGTGTGCTGTTCTTACAGCAGGATTACGAAGTGCTTGCAATAGTTACGACTGCTCTCGAAAACCGAGCTAATCTTTGAAGTATTCTGAGCTGTGCATGAGAACGCTTCTCACTGTGACAATGCTCTCTCCAGGCTAATGCGCCCGCCCATCGTATACACAAATGTTAGTGAAGGAAATCGAGAATGCCCACATTCTTTGCTTGAAGTTCTGTTATGCGTAGCAAACTTATTTGAGCTATTCAGGAAGAAAGAGACAAGGATGCGCAGGCATGGCTTCTCATTTCTTGTACGACTGCGGCTGAGAGGCGCCTCCACTGGCGTCCACACGGCACGAGCAGCCGGCGGGAAACTTGAAGAGCGTCACCTGCGGACTCTTCTCGGGGTTCCACGGGTGTAGCGCAAGCAGTCGATGTAAGCTGTAACGCTGCTGGCATGTCGACTCGTAGAACGGAGCGATGAAAGAGCATGGCTCGTCTGGTTTCCTGCAATCAAGAACATCTCGTTGAGCCTTGTTTTTGAGCGAAATGTGTCGTACAAAGGCTCTTTGCGTTGAGCGCCACATTTGTACAGAGGGCCTACTCCCTTACACCTTTACAACTACGATCATTTCTTAACTGAACCCATTTTTGTGACCTCTAGCTGTTCATAGTTCTCAAGGGAGTCGACACTTCAACATTATAGCGATTTACGAACATGTCCTGCCTTACGAAATATCTTTGGTTTGTTGCTCCGGTAGTCCCACCTTACGAGGAATTGCTTGTGTTTCGCGAATAGCTTATAAACCAGTGAATTGTTTTTTTTTGTCTTAAGTATTTTCATACAAATCTTACATTTGTAAGCCCACGTGGTTCCACCCCTTAGTATTCAATGCGGCAACTTTCGGTTGATATATCTTAGATAGCCTCGTCTCTACTGTTTCGTGGGTGCTGTAAAATGTATCACTGTTACCTGCTTCATTTTGCAAACCTGCATTCTACTTTTCTGTAGAAGAAGATGTAGCCATCACATTCCGCTCTATACTCTTCCTCAGTCGTCCTAACATTGTTAAGGTCAATAATATTGCAAGTAATGCAGAAAATGAGAGGGTCAAGACAGGACAATCACTAAATTTCATCTAAGACATCTGTTGCTGATCCTGACCATACGTAACCATATATGAGAGTATGCGAAACGAAAAGAAAGCGAACAAAAAAATAAAATGACATGAACTATTACGTGTCATCCACACCAAAAAAGTCAAGCTATTTCCTTGATAAGCCTACATGCACAATAGGTTGCATCTGCCACGTGATCGTCCATAATGGATGCAGAAAATGTTGCATGTAAATCACAAGCGGTAGTTTTGACTTCTTTTTCATGAATTACTGGGTTGCGTGGACAATTCAAGTTGATAGCGCTTATTCTTTCTTGATTTTGTTTTTCAACTATCGTGCTCTCTTTTGAGCATTACAATAAATCACTAACAAGTCCAAGCCTTCTCTCATCCCGGTCGATTCCTCATTATCGTTCGAGTAGCTGCTCTAAAGTCGAAATGATTTCACCCTGCTATTCTCGGTCGATACACTGGTATGCTTGAGACACTGCCCTCTAACACATCTAATTGCCAACAGCAGGCGAAAGTGACTTGTGATCTGAGTACAGCAGCACCAAGACTTGACACAAGACGACGATGCTTACCTGCAGCTTTCTGTGCGCACTTTCTGCGGAAAGGCATCCGTGTTGATGACGAGCATCCACTCCCCAGATATGGCGTCCCTGGCCCAGCCAGGTCGCATTGTCTTTGCGTCTGTCTCGCAGGCGAAGGCTCCGCGGGCGGCGGAGCTGGTGCCCAGGTGGTTAGGGAAAAGCTCGGGGTCACCCACGGTCTGCAGCTCCTCGTACATGATTTTGATCTTCTTCAGGTCACGCTCCACCATCCTGCCCACGTAGTCGCTGCATAAAAAAAATGTAATGGATGTACGTCTGCATTTGATGTTCATGATGAGGGGTATATATCGCGGGATATCTTTTATACGCTATAAGTTGTTGCTCAAAGAACAACACATATCACGTGCATGTGAACGAACTGTGCCGCACAGCCAGACTGTAAAATATTATGGGCGTAATCAGCTTGTACAAGAATGCGAAGGGCTGAGAATTCGAATTCAAGTTGATCGCTGTTTTCGACAAAGCCCCTGTCAGTATAAGACGCGTAGCACGATGGCCACGCAAACGACGTGGGGTTATATCTTGTAATGCGCTGCATTGTAATGACAAATGGGTTCGTCAAACAGCTGGAGGATGTTTGATCTTTGCCTCAAAAATAGAACGCAATCGGGATCCTCTTGCATTGCCTTGGTAGCCTTGCCGCAATCTTCGTGGATGCGAAAACCATGCTGCGAGGGAAAGAACATCTGCGCGACTAACATTGCTTGTTTAAAGTTATCCTACAATGCATAATTAATTTCCGGAGTCCTTCACTACAGCGTCTCTCATAATCATATGGTGTTTTTGGGACGTTAAACACCTCATTTCAATCAATCACTCAATGCCTACTTACAGTACAGTTTCGGAGGGCCAACTGCGCCGTAATTCTTACTTTTGAATTGGCGAAATTCCTACTGCACGTCCGCAAGGCAACACGTGAATCTACGCAGCCGCTTACTTTGTTGATGCTTGTTGTGCTGCTGCTGCTGCTGCTGATGGTGATGATTAAATAGACTGACCGCTTTGTAATGATACGCTGTTTAAACCTCTCACCCGTTGCACAGTTCACATATCTATACGCCTGCTGCCTTGCAACACAACATGCGTTAAGGAGACCCGTCGCTATACGTGACATTTGTATAGGTTTTTTTTTGATGAAGTAGTTTCAAGCAACGACGTAGTTATGTGGTAGAAAATGCACCTGCTTGCCACGCATAAAGTCTGGCTTGGATCCCCACTCTGACCCAAATTTCATTTATTTGAATTTATCTCGAATTTTAGCTCTCGGACAACGCTAAGTTTTCGCTCACAACCAAAGACGCCAACATCGGCATTTCTGCAAGACAAGCTGTTGAACGCTATCTCGCTAAAATCCACAGAGAACGTCGGCTTTTGTGTGGCTTTGTAGAATGTTTCAAGCGGGCTCTTCTCTCTATTTTTCAAAGATTTACACCAAAAACGTACCAAGATCCTTTACAGGCGCCACAACGTGGTCACAATCTTGACTACAATGCGTGGCCGCTTGCTACGTATTCGAAATTACAGAGCAAGCCGAAGCAACAAGTATTGACACAGTTCATGAGAGGCCCGTGTGTGGAATGTCGTTTAGGATATTCGCAACTCTCACAGCCTATAGGGGGCGCTACTGTACGTGCAACATGACTGTCGTTACGTTTATCGCAGCCCAACGTTATGGTGCCTAAAAGAGGGGTTGTGATCCTAGCTGCCACTGCTCTTTAAGCAAAATTATGCGAGGGTAACAACATCTCACCGTAGCGTGCGCAAATGCAGCTGCTGGTGAAGACACCAACAGCAGCGAAGGTGTGAGTGCTTCTTTGGTCTGCGTTCAACATGAATGGGCGTTTGGGTGGCGTGCACCTGGAAAACCTGCGTCTTGACTAACGTTTCCAGTTCAGCTCATGTAATTTGTTTTCAGGAGAGTTATTTAGTTTGCATGTTTTTTTTAATTCATCGGGAGTTTTGTTCGTGGCTGGTCACGACGACAGCGGATTTTCTGCAATACTGGCGTTACAAAATGCGCCAAAAAGAAACTCACGATGGGTAGTCGTTCGTGAGGACGCAGAAGTTCTCCCCTTGAACTTTGCAGGGCGGGAAACCGCCATCCGGACCGGGTCTGTCGGGTCGAGGTACCACGACTGGAGGGCCAGTTGGAGGCTCAGCGGGATAGCCCACTCCCGGAGGAGGTCTTGCAGGACCCAGCGGTCCGGGAGGCCCAGAGGGCGGTCGCCTTTGAGGTGGCCTGGGTTGTGCAAGACGCTCGGTTCATGAAAGTGCTGCCGTTACAGCGCCGTTATTTACCAAAGCGTCTCCCCAGCAACAGAAAACAAGCTTACTTCTTGTTTCACATTGGCAACAAGGTGAACCAATATATATATATATATATATATATATATATATATATATATATATATATATATATAGCTCTGTTGTATAGTTGTCAGGAAGCTAAAAAGAATAAAAAGAACCACTCCGGTGCATGACCTGCACTACTTTGACTGACGCCAGCCGTGGAGCGTTAGGCGCTGTTGCCGACATAATATTTCGGTATGCTTGGATAGTATGTCGGTATGCATGGGTAACATTTCGGCAAATGATTCCCATGCTATACGCGGCGTTTCAAACTGTTTCCGGACACGCTGCAGAGCATTCATGTTAAGCTTGCTGACGACTGTATAACTTTGATTTCTGGTGCCTGTGTTTCGGTCCGGCATCAGAATACCGTGCATGACTGCTTAGTGCCCGTAGAGACATCGGCGCCGTCACGCGTTCGCCACTATTAAGCCCATTGGCCCCTCTAGTTCACTGAACCACGGCCATGCAGAAGGGCAACTGGCGACGCAAGCAGGCGCTTGCTCTTGGAGGGGAGGAGAAATGTGAGATATGTAGAGTTACGGTATATGCTCCCTTTATATACAGTAACTCTAGAGATATGCTGAAGTGCGTGACACCTAGTGAGCGCCGGAGGAAGTGCATCTTGCGCAGGTCCTGTCATGTGATATACGTACGGCGAACGCGTCTGTAAACCAGCGCACTAATGGTGGAGAGGTAGGACCGGGACGGAGCACGCGCGACTAATGTGTTGCGTCGACGTACCAGATGTAAATTTAAAGCATGCAGTTTATGTCAATTTCAAGGATTCATGATTTGATAAAAAATGAAAAAGCAGCTTTCAGTGAAAAATAAAACCAGGGGATCTGTTACGCCTATGCATGTATAAAACTAAATTATTATTTCAGGCCAAAATAACCCCGAAAATTGCCGGCTTTGCGCACCGCATACTGCCAGCGACCACAATTTCGCCACGGCGTGTGTGACGTCATCTTGTGCACGGAACGGTGCCGTCGTCTACTACTAAAGTTTCTGACGGTACAAAGCGTTCATTCTCTATGCCGAGTCCAACAGAGCTGAAATAGTTGGAATGCACGCACAGCTGGCCACGAAAGTAAATCGTTCACTGAAATGCACATGCTCGCACTGCTTTTTATGTCACCGCTGCTCGTGAGTGCGCCAGTATTGACCAACATTGGGGGCTTGCGAGTTCATGAAAGTAAGCATGTATCAATAAATTCTCGACCAAATGGTCTAAAATATCATCAGCTTGTTGGCGAACACGCAAGAATTACTCAACACAATGCAGATTATCACCGAAAATGACGTGTCATGCATGGCTTGTTTAGAAGCACCATTCAAGTTATGACACATCTGAATGCCCACAGCATGTATTAATTGAAAGAACTTGATGTTTCGTGCACTGCCTGAGCCACGTAAAAAGACGTGCGTGGTGAAGACCTGCATGATGCGTAATGAGCTGTAGGGAGCTTGATCGATAAAAGCCCTTCTACATTTGGATAGGTACCACAACCTATTCTCTCCTCCATCGCCTCCTCTCCTGCACGCGTTGGTCTTTTTCTTTTTCCCCCCATGACAGTGATATCTACAAGGAGGTTTAAATAAATGTTGCTGGAGTGTAGGCCACCTATACATACCAATGGGGTAGCCAAAGCACACCCGCCGCTTCTTTCTGCCGTGGTTTTTAATAGTTATGGAGGGCATTAAGTGGTATATTGTCAAGAATAAGAAGTGAAATGGCAAACAAGAATACAGTTGACCTTATCCTATTTCTTTAAGTGTTTTGCTTGCACAAATGCACATCGTTGAAGGGTATGTCACGCTGGTTTTTAAAAGAAGCGTACTCGTGAGAGCTGAGCTAACTTTCTCGGGATTCATTTTCTCGTTTATTTTCTTCTTCTGGCGGAACCTTATGCGTAAGTAAATTTCGGCCACTTTCTTTGCGTGGAATATAAAGGTGGGTGTCCCAGCTACTCATGTACAAATGTACATACCCATTAAAAAAAGATGCATGTATGAGGTAAAGATGCAGTGAGGCCACTCTCTCCCCTTTTCTCAGAAACGGGCTTTTGATTCTGGATCCCTTTTATTTTAGCTTGAAAATAAAGCCTCGCTCATTCGGTTCACTATTTGTCTGTGGTAGAATTTTTTTCTGGAGCTGGTTTAACTCCCCTTAGAAAACACAAACCATTTTTGTTTTATAAAAGTTGCGTGTAGGCATTGCAACTTTTACATCTTCAAACTTAATACAAATAACGGCACGAGTATCTCTCGGTTATGATCGCTTTTTTTTTGCAGTTGCACTACAAATATTGCACAGTTCAGACCTTGATTCAGACACTGGTTTTCGCTCGCTGCACACGAAATAACGGAACAAAATACATGAATGTAAAAAAAGACAGGTTTTCTATGTTGCCCAAACAATGTTAACTTCACTCGTGGTAGCAAGGTAAGCCTCTAATTAACACAACTGAAAAACAGGGGCGTGGCCAAGGATTGGCACGCCGGGCCTGTGCCCCCGTTTCCGCGAAATTTTTTTGCCATGGTATAGCAAGCGAAAAGTGGTGATTTCAAGGGGGTGCCCCTCCCGAAAACAACAAAATGCCCCCCCCCCCCCTAAAAATGGCTACGCGAGGTTTATGACCAGACTAGTTGGTGAAGATCCATAACAGCTTGCAATGAACTCACTTCGTCCGTGTCGTGCACTGTTAGCTATTCTGGCTACGCCACTGCCAGTAATCAAAAACGAAATGATGGAGAGGCCTATTTGATTTCAACAAATAGTTAACGGTTTGTTATTTTCCCTCTCGCTTGCCACTGTAGTGGTATCAACAAGCACAAGGATGTGTACAGTGGACATCGCAGGTGTTTTAGAAACGCATCTAGCCCAGTAGGTCCACTTGCGGGTCACAGTACAGTCAGGTTGTTACAATTCGACGAGTGCCTCTAACATATATGTGGTCGCTGTATTTTCGCTATCAGTCATCGCGCCATCTAATGACACAAGTGTTGAACAGCACACCCCGAAGTGCTTCGAACATTTGGGTCCTTAAGAAGCACATTAGGAAAAAAAAAGAATGACCGTGAGATATGTGAATACAGGTTGAGAGCTACCAACATGCAGATGTTCCGGCATACAGTTTTTATTAAGCTCGATATATGATACACTCAACTGAAACATCCCAGAAAACCTTTTAGCTTGAACCATGTAGCCTTAATAAAGGCTCGATGTATTCATTACAACGTCCGCACGCTATACAACGCCGGCGAACATCTGGGACAACTGGGCAGTCGCAACCGGTTGAGCTGCGGAAGGCGCGCTTTCTGCCTATGACAAGATGGCGGCGCGCGGCTTCACCTGAAGGCCGCCTTCTCCACTCCAGCAAATATTACTTTAGCCTCCTTGGATATCTCCTTGTCAGCAGTGTGTGAAGGTCTTAGATTTTTTTATTTTTTTGCTGCCGCGAAGAAGCCGACCATCGCGCGCCGTCGGAAGCCCAAACTGAAGCTTTCAAATAAGACCACGGAAGCGCTGGATGGAACGTTAGCGTTCCATTCAGTGCGTTGATATGTTCAGGGAGCAGAAAGAAACTTTCAGCGTGGCGCCGAGGCAGAAAAATATTACACCATCGTCCGCTAGAGGAAACCATGTGTAGATGCGGAGCAGCGGCAGCTGTCGCTTACACTGGCGGGGCGTTGTGCAGGAAAAAAACCTGGCAAGGCGCAAAGCACGCAGTGAAGAACCGTTGTTTCCTACTGAAGCATGCCAATCACTGCTAATGGGCAATGAGAGAGACGACTCCGATAGGACATAGAGATTTGCAGTCCGCTTTTAGGTAACGCGTACGCTGCGCATTTTTAGGGACGAAGTTCTTAAGGGTGTCGGCTAGTCCCTCGTCGTCCATTGTAATTACACCTAGTACTCGGAGTGCTCACTAGAAGGTGCTGCGGGGCTCACTCCACTCTGATGCGTAGGAAACGCGTGCTTTAGTGTGATTGGAGATGGATAGACGGATGAACAGACAGACAGACAGACAGACAGACAGACAGACAGACAGACAGACAGACAGACAGACAGACAGACAGACAGACAGACAGACAGACAGACGGGCGGGTGGACGGGTGGACAGAAACAAGGATACCAAAAAAAAAACAAATTAATAATTCACAGAGGTAATGATCCCCCAGAGCTTCGCCCCCTCGCTATCATTCACTTCATGAATATACTGTGATTTCTTTATTGTTCAACAACGTACAGGAGAAATCTTCACCGGCACTACCTCAGAGGTGAAGATACAGTTCCTTTACATACGGGATGACCAGCGAACGGTTCAGCACGAGCAGTCGGTGTTTTCAAGAAACCCGCTAGCAGACACTGCCTGCATCGGCGTTGCGAGGCGAGAGAGGGGGAGCGTAGGAAAGGAGAGAAAGGAGGAGGACGGCCATGCACAGTGGAGCGCGGACGCCACCGGATCGAGCGAGCTCAGAAGATGCTTCGCATCTAAAGGAAAAAAAAAAGTGTACGTATGCGCTATCTCACGTGGTTGCCGTCGCCTGATCGGAGGCGCTGGACAAGGAACCGTGGGGCGTTGATCAAAATATGGCGGTACTTTTCGAAATCTAAAGATGCTTTATATATAACGAGTTTGCGAGATGCAATTGCCGTTAACACCGATTGCTACTAATTGTGTGGTTCCAATTTTAGTTATTGATACACCTTAATGTCGATTCTGTCATTCACAACCCCTAGCTTTGATTGTTTTATTCTTTCTTTATGAACATAAACCTAGAAGTTTTGATCACGGTTTTTGGTGAAATCTCCTCATGGGTGCTTGACAGGGTGGAATTCAAGATGGTAGAATGTCACGTGGTACTCGTATCACCAAAAATTGAATACAAAAAAGATTGAAATCATGAATGGCAAGTTGGCAATGACTCACCGTGCGCTATTTAAACCTGGCGGACTATGAATCATTTGTATCGCATGCGCATTTCTGCTATATATGAATGGCGGCACAGATCACAGCCACTTCTGTAGAGTGAACACTTCAGTTGTTTACACGAATTTCTACATTTCTGGAACCAACGAAATTGCTACGTTATGCGTCGCAGTGTAACACCTGCTCAATATTGCGCGAGTCAAGTTGCTTTTATCATTCTAAATGAGTGCAACAGGCTTGTTGCTGAGCTAGTTGGTTCATAACAGAAAAAAAGACATGGCACAAATATTACGGGGACGTGTCTGTCAGTTTATTTCTTCAATCCGTCCCCGTACTCTTTGCGCCGTGTCTGTTGTTTTCTTAAATGATGAGTCCCACTGGTGTGTAGGGATTATAGATGCAAACACTGACACACATTGCATGCAGCTGTATCTCGCATCTGGTTGCAGCCAACTCTGCGCTCATTAAAACGCACACATTGGTTGTAGGAGGTGCGACTGTCAAATCAGGTCTTGGGAAGCCAAGCGGCAACTCCAGACGAGGTCCGTTGAGCCACTGTAGCCAGTGGAGCACTGGACGAAGGGCCCACCTACTCGAGTTGCTAATGGGAACTACTAATAAACGTTCACTTTCTCTCTTTTATCTTACCTCAAGCTAACTGGGTGTGCAATCGTCATAAAACACTTACGTATCTTGTAAGAAAGCACCAGGATTCTTACAATAAATTAATTATTGATATAAGAATGGTAGTGGAAGTTTAGAAAATGTTATTGTTATGCGAAAAGTGTGATACAGGTCAGGGCGCGCGTCAGTGAGAGCACTGACACGCAGTTGAGCTCTGACATACGGGGCTCGCTGTGGCGGCAGGTCGTACGGCTGCTCGTCTTCGTCCACGGAGGGCGAAGGACCATCACCTCCGCCTTCGTTCGGAAGCAACACAACTAGGAACAAATCGTCATCCGGTGGACGATTCCTGAAAGTGCGCAAACGACAAAACACAGACAGAAAGAAATGTCAACTTACTGTGGACGAGTAACGGGAGGAGAAATGGGAACGAAGGGTTGGGTTGAGGGAGGGATAGACGGCGGCCGCCTGAAAGGAAATACCACTGTCAGTGCGACACTTGCACAATAACGAGGGCGTAGTGTGCCGTTCAAGATAGGTTGCGTTGGCAAATTGGTCGAAATAATTTAGCCTTACTGTTGGGCGACTCTTGGTAAAGATGCAACAAAACGAGAACAGAGGCTCCGAAGACTCGTACACATACTTAACACTTAACATGCATACTAATTACGTTTTGTGACATACGCACACTTACTGAAGGGGATGGGCATCCCAAGGAAGGCATTTACCCCTACCTGTAAGGGCACTCCCAGCTGAACACTGACAAATTCAGCAATTTGAATCACGCATTCTTTCTCAATAGTCACCACACCCCACCCAGTTTTTTTTTCTGCTAAGGCCGTAGGGATTATCTTGGGAGTTCTGGATGCCCGAAAAACGAGGCCAAAATGTTGGCAAGCTTAAACAGCGGAGATGTTTAACATACCGAAATCTCGCCCAGGCTTTACGTCATCTAGATAGTCTAAGTCAAGATTAGTTAAGCATAGCCAATTCAGACTGAACACGACTAAATATATTTAAACTTAGTCTAGCAATAGATACCATGTGATACCCAATCAATAGCTGCCACAAGAGTAAGTAATTGATCAATAAACAATAAATTCTAAAAAATGCTTCGTTGAGTTCACCCTTTAGCTCAAAACGCATGGCTAAACGATAGTCATTCTATGGCTAATGTATACTCGATCAATGGCTAATAAATTGTAAAATATGCTTGGTTTAGCTTATCCTAGCTAAAAAAACATGATCAGGGCTTTGTAATGGCGAATTGATAGCAAACCGACAGCTAATCAGCAATAAATAAATAACCTGTAAATTCTCACTAATTCTTGGTTGAGCTCAGCTTAGCCCTAAATGCATGGTGGCCGCTATTTCAGAAGTGTTGCGTCACAGTAGTGGAAGCCGCGCTGATTTTTCGTGATAGTAAGGCGCAGTTCATTCTTTTAGCTAAAGTCACTGTTTTGATGTAACTTAAAAGACAGCATCATAATTTGCAACGCCAATCTTGGAACTATCCTCTGCATATGCTTAATCCTGAATGATACATATCATTTGTGAGCTACGGTATACCGAGCATGAATAAATCCTTCAACTGAAGCAGCTGAAAGAATATGTGTCTTTACGCATTAATGAAGCGCTGCCACAAATGACTGGGGAAAGGCAGGCTGGTTGGCACATACCGAAGCTGAAGAAAAAACAGCGCTAAAATGGCCCAAAGGGAAGGAAAAGGAAGGCACTGAGCGATCATTTACTGCATCTTTTCTCGCTTTTCTGTTGTCACTATCTCGGTGCTGTTCGTCGATTGCATATACTGCCTAGTACAGTAAAATCCACGTCTGCTTTCTCCAATCACCTATGCACCATTAGATAAATGCAATATATTCTACGACCCAAGAATGAATAGCACTGACAAATGAAATGTAGTTGTCAGAGGGCTTACTCTTGCGGTGGTCCTCCAGAAGGTATGTATTCTGTCGGAGGTCTTCTGCCTGGAGATGGCGGGGCAGTAAGGCCAGGCGAAGGTGGCTGGTAAGGTGGAATTGGCCTGGGGGGCAGGGGCCTTGGTGAAGGAGGTGAAGGACGGGGGGTTTCTGGTCGTGGTAGTGCCGGAGGTGGTCTTGGAGCTTGAGGAGGGGGCGGAGGTAGTCTGGGTCCTTGAGGTTCCTTTGGAGGTGTGTATGCTGGTGGTGGCCTAAAAGAAGGAGGGGGCGGAGGTCTCTGAGGTGGCGGGGGTGGTAGAGGCCTTGGTGCAGGGGGTTGTGGTACGGGTGCCGGAGGAACTGGTGGTGGTGTATATGATGGTGGGGGTCTCGTAGGAGGTCGAGGACGAGGCGGTGGTGATGGGACTGCAGCAGCAGGTGGTGGAGGTGGATACGAGGGCGGTGGTGCGTGGGCCGGTATGACAGGTGGCACATACACAGTCGATGGTATGTAGACAGCTGGGGGCTGGTACACCTCTACTCCAGGTCCTGGACCGAATCCTGGTCTTGGAGAGGGGCCGGGTTGTAGAACGGGCCTAGGATCCGGACGAGGGGCGGGACCGGGACCAGGGCCAGGTTCAGGCACGTAAGCTGGTGGGGGCCGGCGTGGAGGTTGAGGCCTTGGCACGGGGCGTGGTGGTTGGGGCCTAGGAGCAGGAGGTGGTGGTGCAGGCCGGAAGGGAGGAGGTGGCCTTGGTGCGGGAGACGTTGGCCTTTGAGGAGGGGCAGGCGCCGGAGGTGGAGGTGGGGGTTGATAAGCAGGAGGTGGGGGTTGATAAGATGGAGGTGGTGGCCTTGGAACTGGGGGAGGAGGTGGTGGCCTCGGGGCTGGAGGTGGTGGCTGGTATGTTGGTGGTTGCCTTGGTGGAGGCCTTAGAGTCGGTGGAGGAGGTGGTGGTCTGGGAACCGGAGGTGGTGGCTGGTATGTTGGTGGTGGCCTAGCTGGTGGCCTTGGAGCCGGTGGAGGAGGTCGCGGCCTAGGTACTGGAGCTGGTGGCTGGTATGATGGTGGTGGCCTTGCTGGAGGCCTTGGGGCCGGTGGAGGAGGTGGTGGCCTTGGAACGGGGGGAGGTGGGGGTGGTCTGGGTACCGGAGCAGGCGGCTGGTATGCGGGTGGTGGCCTAGCTGGAGGCCTTGGAACTGGCCGAGGAGGTGGTGGCCTTGGGGTGGGAGGAGGAGGTAGTGGTCGTGGAGCAGGGGGTGGTGGCTGGTATACCGGTGGTGGCCTAGGGGCAGGTGGTGGGGGTGGTGGCCTTGGTGCAGGGGGAGGTGGCTGGTATGCAGGGGGTGGTCTAACTGGAGGCCTTGGAGCTGGCGGGGGTGGTGGTGGCTGGTACACGGGTGGGGCAGGCTGATATTGCGGAGGCGCTGCTGGTGCAGGTGGTCTTGGAAAGGGTGTTGGTTGAACGGGTGGCCTGCGTGGTGGGGGTGGAGAGGGAGGCGTCCTGAAAAATGGCGACAAAATATCAAGGGTCTCTACTACGAAACATTGTTAATTCGCGTCAAAATTGTTTGTAAATGTGAGAGCCAGATTGTACTGAAATCCAATAAATAATTTCAAAGGTGAGCGACAGAGAAGCCGCAAAGTTCAGTAAATAAACTTTGGTAACTCTGCGGAATGAAATCTAATAGAGGAAGAGATGCTGGAACAACGAAATATTAAAGTAGTCTAGAAAAACTTAGAGAACCATAACTGTGGATGAAGCGGGCGCATTGTGTGCTTTATGTATGATATTCGCAGTGATTGATAAGATAACATTGCACTGTTTTGCTGGCGTGATGTTTATGTGCAAAAGTGGGTTCAATAAAGGTTTTTTGAATGTTCATCTATCAAAAACAGGGCACATACAGAATGTTTTTTTTTGAAAAGAACTGTCTTATACTGTACTTGAGAGTACGGGGCCGCATTTTGAGTCTTACGGTTTGAAAAAGACTGGTGGAGGTGGCATTGGTCGTTTATTAGTAGGCGGATAAACCGGGTGCGGCCTTCTTAGAGGAGGTAGCCTGAAAAAAAATAATGGTGGGGCGAAAAAAGCGAGAAAGAGTATTTTAGCTGAGCGTATATTCACAGCTGTTTATCTGCGCAGCTGGCAAAAATATCAGCAGAAACATGACCTCTTCCGTAAACTATATTAACCCGTGATGTATCTGCAGTTGGGGTGTTGTGAATGGATGATGTTAGCTACATCGGCTCCAAGAACATCGGTCTGCCTTACAACGCATTTCCTTTTGCTTAACCAATGCTGGACTGATTGCTGGCAGACAATTTCTGTATCTCACCTACAGAGTATGAATTAGGATCAGAATTACGGTGATTTCATTACCTTTAAGAAATAACAAAAATGAAAGTAGAAGTTTCATTCATTTCATTATAGCATGACTATCAATACATAAATCTTACACGACATCAGAAAATAATGCTAATAAAACCCATTATAAGCACCATCTGACAGAGCTGATACGACGATGCACCGAGAGAAGTGCTATTGTCGTGGAAGAAGTGTCCATGTTTTTTTAGTAATGAACAAAATGTCAACAACAAACCTAAATAAGTCTCATATCATAATGCGACTCGCATATTACGTTCACTAAAACATGAATTCTGTTCATCCACCTGCTTCCCAGCCAGCAGAAAAATGAATAAATCTTATACGCTTTTCGCCATAACCATGAGTGCCAATGAGACCCTCAGCTCTTTGACGACATATTGACACGCTCATGCATCATCTAGGAGTCGAAACGGCTTATACGTATATACGAAGCACTTTTTGCCGCGAATTTAGCGTACAACACGTTCGTGCGGACCCGACGCCAGAAAACGCCCTTCGTCTGTTCCTTGACTGTCCCAAGCACATCACACATAGACAAGAACAGAACTCAGACTGAACGTTCCCATTAGCGAAAATACTAGGCTTATAGCCGTTACTGATTAACCGCATAGCAACAAAAATGCTTGAACGTTTTTCTAAGGGCTCTTCAGCGAAGTACATCATGAGTTGGCGGCAAGCTTTCGTGTGTGCTCTGTTTAAAGTAGAACTATTTAACTCGTCAAATGCAAGAATGTATACGTATATATGCATTATTTTGCCTTCTGATTTTTTTCAATAGCCTAGTCGAAAGGCATAGCTGTCGCCAAGGAACGGCGCCAACAACCACTTCAGTTAATTTTTTTTGCCTGACAAAAGAAAAGAGTAAATATAACCACAGAGAAATTACTACGGCTGCATCTGTGTCAGGAGAAGGACTGTGGACATGTTCTAAATTATTGCTATCACTTCTACTAGTAGTAATAATACCTGGTTTTATTAACAGACAAATAAATAATAACCTAGCCCTGCAATAAGGTTGAAGGGGTACGTCTCTTGTTGTTGCTTTTACTCCCATTTCTTTGCAGCTGAACTACCATTTTGCTATTTCATTTTCACGATAGCATCCCTAAGCTTATCACCTTCCTTTTGTAGTCGTTTACGAGGAAGCATCACTGTGCCGTTACATTCATTTTAGTTTCGTTATTTATAATACTGAAAACATCAATCCGCACTGTGTATTACTTCCGCCTTGTTGTGACGTTATTACTGCTGATACGTTGGTGTTCTCATCCCATAGAATTATTGCACGTCTTTTTTGCGAGAGTATACCTTTCGGGGTCCAGAAGGTACTTATTTTTTAAACATACGTCAGCACAGCAGTCTCTTCGCGCGTTCTCTACTAGTAACAATTGTGCGTTTTTATTATTGTTGAGGAGAACCTATATCTGACTCTTTTTTCGGATTTGAGGTAAATGTTAAGCCTTAGCTTTTTTGGTGCTCACTTTTATTGCAGAAAATTGAGTGAATCAATTCTACGTATAACGTAAGCTCTGATGTGACATCCTCAGGAAGTTTTAATTCAATATTAGTGTCGAACTCTAAATGAATGAAAATGAATTCGTCCAACATTTTAAACTTTTCTCCAAGGTATATTTTTCTTAGTTGAAGAGAAGAAGGTGTGTAGGTAATAGAAATTTATTCATTCGGATGACTGAGTTTTCACTGCATGAATGCAAGATATAATAATAATAATAATAATAATAATAATAATAATAATAATAATAATAATAATAATAATAATAATAATAATAATAATAATAATAATAATAATAATAATAATAATATACGCATTGGTTCGGTAGAAAGGGAGAAAATGAGTGACAACTATAAAAACATATTGTCAGAGTAGTTGTGAAATTTAACAAAAAAAAAACAGCTGGAACATACCAAATAATGTAATTATTATAAGAGGATTGATTTCTTCACTTTTAAGGAACCACTAGGTGGCAGAACGCAATGTTACATCGCAATATGGAAGTATAACTTTTTTCCAATATGGAATTTTTGTTGGGGCAGCGCGCAATGAACTTGCAGCTTTGTTTTCTATGCACGGAAAGATATACGGGAGCTGCGTAAAATCGAAGTGGCCGCGTATTCAGACACGCTGGTTGCAATATACGTTTTTTTGTTTCGTTTTAAGATTTTTCAAGTGGACCCCTCAGCGTTATATTCTTTAAACTGCAATGTAGCGTGCACCATTTTTTGCATCGGGATAACTAGTGCAACTTAGGGCGAGACCTATTATGACCGCTTTGCTCTAGATACTTTCACTGGTGCTTGTTTTTTTTAAATTTTAATATCCGGGCTTCGTTCAAAAACCTGCGAAACGTGTAATCACCGGGCCGTAATGTTAGGAAGTCTGAACTACTGTTTTAGGATGTTGTCATCTGACTGCCTGGAGCATACTAGCGTTTCAGTTTTTTTTTCTAAAACCAACTTGGACAACAAGGTTAACGCTGGAATATTCAATAATGCACATATAAACGCAGGCATTTTCTCCCCAATGATCAGATTGTTGACTGCAGGCGACCATGCCCACGTTTATTGTTGTATATGGGTCAATGGCTTCTAGAGTGTCTGCTACTTGAGTTTCTCGGCATAATTTCACCCACTAAACAGTTTCGTCCGGACAAGCACGTCTTCCGCCTTCTTCTTCTTCACGGTTACCTGCACAACCTCGTGATGTCTGGGGGAGTTGCCGGTCGCCACCGAATAACAAGTCTAGCTATTCTAAGACGGGAAGGCAATGCCCTGTCATTGTTAGGGCTGGGCCGAAAGTTCTCTCTAACTTGCATAAAAAATTATTTTGCGCAAAAAAAGAGAAACGCGAGAACGAGACTAGAAGACAAACTTGAGCTGCCTGGTGTTTAATACTTGTGACGAAAAAAACAATGAAAACAGAGTCAGACTAGGCAAGACACAACAGAACACCTTTGTCATTTCTTCTTTAGTTCGAGTGTTTTTAGCGCTGTTTTTCCATCACAAACGCGAGGTCTAGAAGTAAACACAGTAGACAAGCGCAATCTGTTGCGCTTGTATGTGTTCATTTCTGGTTGTCATTTTTTATTGCGCTGCATATTTTTAGATTATCTTGTTGAATCTTGAACCAACTCGGCTGGTTCAAGATTTTCCCGCGTCAGAGTTCTCTCTTCTCTTAGTGGCAGATCTTCCCAAGTAGTTAATGACGACCAGGATCACCGCTATCATCGGATTGCTAGTGTGGCGTGCTTGTAGAGAACTAAGAAAACTGTTAGTTCTCATTATATTGCGTCTAACGAAGAAAAATGAGTTCTTCAAATTTTCACTTGTTTCATCAGCTTGTACAGTAAATATTACACTATTATCTGGGCTTAAGATTGCGCAATAAAAAGTTTCCTTTTTATAATTACAAATGGCACCACTCTCACGGTCTCACCGCAGTGACAATATATACTGCGAGTATTCGAAACCTCGAAGATGGTTCTCGGTAGGTTCCATGATAAGACACTTGTTACAAGTTCCGGCAACTTCTATAGAGGAGTACTTACGGTGTTGGTGTAGGACGTGGTGCTGGGGCCGGGTATGACGGCGGTGCCGGAGCCGGGTACGATGGCGGTGCTGGAGCTGGGTACGATGGTGGTGCTGGAGCTGGGTACGACGGTGGTGCTAGAGCCGGGAACGACGGTGGTGCTGGAGCCGGGTACGACGGCGGCGCTGGAGCCGGGTACGACGGCGGCAATGGGGCTGGGTACGACGGTGGTGCAGGTGCCCCTGGTGGATAGGACGCTGGTGGATAGGCTGGTGGAGATCTGGTAATGGCGGGGTAGGTTCCAAATTTATTTAGATAACAGGAACAGGTGCATACATTTGCCTCAATGAAAATCTGTCGATCATGTACCCATGCAGTACGAAGCGCAAAACTATCGCAAGAGAGTGGTTGTTTGAGCATACATATACAATCAACCTAATAAATTGTTGTACTAATGATCCGTACCATTTTTTTCAAAGGCGATTGGTGGCTGAGGCTGTGGTTGAGAAACTTTTTCTTATCACTTTTTTTCTCTGCGATTTTTCTTTTGTCTTCACAACATTTTTGTTGCCATTTAAAATAATACATATTAGGAAATGCTGTTGAAACAACTTAGCTTTCTGAATGACAATTCGTAGTCTTCAATATCAGTCATTGACCGCGTTATATATATGCTCATGGACGTGAGGAGATTTCATTTCTTTGTTCTGTATTTCAATTTTAATTGGTATATTTTGTAGTCTATATACAATATTTGAAGTTTAAAGTTTGAAGTTCGGTTCATTTTGTCACACAAAGTTACAAAAACTTCAGATGCGGTTTGGAAAGCGACAAAAAAGCTACATATGTGTAGCATATATGACCACCATTCGGCGCTTCTCGATTCTCATTTGATTTGACGCAAAATTTCGCTATTCCCACACTGAAATATCGTCATCACGGGACGACGCCCACATAGGAATTCACGATGACGCCACGAATCATGAAAATTTGTGAAGTCACCATGACGGGATATAACGTGCCATCGCATGATGACATCACTACATGGCATCATCGCTTGATGGTTTGATCACGGAGGCAATGCGAAGGCAGGTGAGGTGTATAAGGAAGATTTCTGGGGTAGAGGGGCCATCAGTGAGACGAAAAAAGACTTTGCCTTCGAGGCGAATGCACAAAAAGACTTTCGCCTTCGAGGCGAATGCACAAGGGTCCGCCGCGGTGCTCGGCTGCTCACCCGAAGGTGCGATACCGGCGAGGCCCTTCCGATGGCGGTGAAAGGCTAAGGCCCGAGTGATGCGCAATGTCAACGCAGTTTAAAGAGCAACATACAGGCTAAATTTCCGAAGCCATCTACTGCGGTGTCCCTGATAATGAGGACGTGGTTTTGTTACAGCAGATGATATAATTATTGCATGGAAGACTGTGTGAGTTTTTGTACTTCTAGAAAAGTGGCTGGCTACGGCAGTGGCTGGCTGACGTAGCAAACAGCTATATGTAGTTAACATTGTAACGATTACAATTATTGAAAAATTTTACAGGACATACACAGCCCCTGTAGGCGGTGGTCTAGAAGGTGGTCCCTGGAAGGGTGGGTAGCCGGGGGTTTCTTCTGGAGGTGTGTAGGCAGGAGGGGGACGTTGGACTCGGGGTGGAGGCCTGAATTCGAGGGAGACAGCAACATGTCAAGTTTTTCAGCGTGCCCCAAGTCAGTGACATGACCGTTAAGCTAAGAGTTAGGAACATACAGGTAAAACAAAATATAACGGTCACAAGGAGCACTAGCTTGCACTCATTATTACAGCGAAGAGCATCTATGTACATTTGAAAGCATGCAGAAAAATCACCAGAAATTCTGCATTACCAAGACAAAAAGTAACGTTTTTGTGTTATATGGAATCGTCAGGCTATTACGGCACATTTTTGAGGTCTCGAAAGGTTCGTCGAAACGTAACAGCTACAAAAAAAAAAATGCTGGTTATTTCTTTCAGTACGCCCTCAAGTTTATTCGCGTTGTTTTCAATTCGCTGAATGGCCCATCAACAGCGCGTTTCTTTTGCTTCATAGCCAGCCGATTGTCGAGATTTTATATTCGGCTGCGAAAGTGCTTTAATATACCGAATGTTTTACATAGCTACGAATATTTTGGTCGATTGAAAGTCAGTGCTCACCGTCATTGCTGTACTCCATCTGTCTCGTGCTTTCTGTAGCAATGGCTCGGCATATATACCATGCGGCTGCCTTGTAAAAACTAACCTTTACTCCTTAAGAGCATTTGACTGCGATACACGTAGAAACTTCACACTTTCATTCGTAGATTTTACGAACTAGGGATGCAGGTGGCTGATTTTGGTGATCTTGATGTAAAACAAATGCTTCAGTTGTACTTTTCAAGTGCATTTGAATACGTGTTTTTATTGAATAATTATTCAATCTTATGGGAAATAATAGAACTACAATTCTTCATAAAGTGGCTGCGACTACGTTGGAAAATACTTCCGCACCATGACACGATTAGTGCATCGCGCAGCAGCATTGAGTCTTCAGTGCTGCGTAGACGCTGCTTTTCAAAGCCGCATGTTGCTCACGTTTGTGTTATTTTAGTTGAATTTATGGGGGGGGGGGGGGGGGGCACACCAGCAATGGTACAGCGTCACTGTCACGTTGTCCGAAAGGCGATACGATGGTTTCTCTTCAAACTATAGTTAATATGTACAAGTAAGTACCGCCAACAGCAAACTTGCGCACCAGAGAAGGCAAAGCACAACCTTCGAAGGCCCTTCATTTCGTCACTCACAGAAATGCACTCACGTATGAGGGCAGCGGCAGTGTGAGCAATACATTCACTACGTTCATAAACTGTGTAACGCAAAGTTCGTTATAGTGACCTGCGGAGTAAACTGTTGCTGCTGATTGTTAAAGCAATCGAAAGGCTTGATCGAATACTTTTGCTCAGAATGGTTTGTGTTCAGCCAAATGCTTGGTCTGATCTTTGATGATGTCAAAATACTAAACCACCCTCTCAGTCGTCTTGAATTCGAACGCGTTGTTAGAGGTCAGCAGGACAGCCTTCATCGCACCATTGACCCGCTCACAATGCGAGAGATACTTTGCATGATCTTATACTGTTGATGAACGTGTTTAGAAAAAAAAATTATACCATCTTTTAAATAAGTTTTCTTCTCAATGGAAGCCGAAAAAATGTTGCATCGTAGTCCGTGGTTGACAAAGGACGCACATCGATTAGTGGCGTGTTCACCGTTTTCCGAAAGATTGCTCTCCTCCACCCACTCCCAACAAATTTTGCGGACCACCAACATTTAGAGATTTAGCTACAGAACGGGTTCCGTCCCGGACTAAATTCTCTGTTTGCGGAAGTTTGGCGAAGTCCCGAATAATAGATCGAGGCTTTGAATTTTGCGTTGCGACTGGCCGAGAAAGGTATTCGCCTAGCCTTCGGATGAAGCTGCTATGAAGTCTTCGGACGAAGTTCTTGTGAACTGAAAAGCATTCTGACTCCTCTTGTAGCCTACAAGCCGGAGTAGGACAATTTTTGTCCAAGAGCACCTTCAGAAATGAACGGTCTAATTTGACCGATTCAGTGTCACGGCACTTACAAGTGTTTAATAATTGGCACCAAAATCTGTTGGCCACAGCACTCATGGTAATTTAAAACTGTAGAAAGCAGTGTGATCTAGGCCTCAATCCTGAACAAAAAAAAATGTTTTCGTCGAATTGCGAAGACAGTTTCTTGAAGGGAAATTCCTTCATAGTTCCTCTGTAGCTACGCACTAAAACGTCTGAATCGCAGTTAACCCTTTTGGTGGATGTTGTGCAAGGTTTTTTGTTTTTAATCATATTGCACTTGTTGCCCTGACCATCATCGGCTTGAATGCTCATGTTCTCTTAGGACTAAAATCAATGTGTAGTTTTTGTTGGTGTAGGTAATACTAAAGAACGTCAAAAATATTAGCTTGCGTGTGCGGATACTGACCTGTGAGCGCATGACATATATGCTCGTCAGTTCAGTAAGTAAACGATTGCTTACTGCAGTTCAGGTGGTGAGAATCTATGTACTTGGTGTTCCCTATAGCACTGGTATCTATATCGGTGCTTCATTGGCAAGTTGAAACTGTGACTTTGTCGTATGCAGCTAAAATGTTTTCTTGATTAGCTCGTTTTGATGGGTTTGTATGGTTAGTGTGGCGTGCCAGACTGCAGTCTTGGTCAGGTAATGTGCAAGTCACCAGCAACGGTTGGTTAGTTACTGCTGTGAACTCTGCCACGAAGTTCAGAAATAGTAAATATTTTGTGCCTCACAGCTATTTTTAGTGGGAGAAGGACTGAAAGAGCGAAGCGATGAGACAGAAACCCACTGACATTTGTTGCCAAGAAGCACTCTATGTGTTCGATCACGTGCAGTGCGGAAGCTGGCTAAGTGAAATACTGGGGTGACGCGGCGCTCAAACTGCAGCTGCATATAACATATATGCTTAAAGAAAACCAACGCAATACAGAAGCGTGGGCACTCAGCCAATACTCCGTAGGTCTCATTGCCGCCCTGTTCTTCACTTAGTTCGGGTGCCTTAGATAAGAAAGGAATAAGCCACTACATACCGCCTTATATATATAAAAATACATATTTGTCGCAGTCTCTTTCTAGTCGGAATAACAAAGAAAGAGATCGTCCCTTTTGCGCGATAACCCGCATAATATACAGCTTAGTTCTTTTTTTTGTTTTTCCAGGAGTTACGTTTTGCATGATTTCATTTTATTCATAACGTCTGTGTGCTTTTTCATTCCATACTAATTGTTTTTCTTTGGCGATTCTTATGACAGTGTTGCCAGCTCAACCTGCAGCACTCATTCTGATCATAATAGAAATGGGCGTCCCCCCCCCCCCCCCCCCCAAAGGTTCTTCGGAAGCGGAACATGTATAAAGAGTTCTTACGACGGCCTTCTCGAGGGAGGAGGAGGAATGGGCCGTGGTGGAGGTGGTGGGGGCGGCCTAGCAGGGGGTGGAGGTGGCCTGGACACCGCGGGAGGTGGTCGTGTGGGTGGTACAGGACTCAAAGAAGGAGGGGGTGGATACGCCGGGGGCAAGCCGGACACCGGCGGTCTGGGTGCAGGCGGTGGGGGCCTGGGGAAAGGTCTGCCCGTAGGTGGAGGAGGTGGTCTCGGCACTGATGAAGGTGCAGGTCTAGAAATGAGTGCGAAAGCACATTAAAAAGGGTGAGCGCTTCAAGACACAGACAATAAATAATATGTTCATCAATTGCATCAAGTCGCATTGTCAGTTACCTCGGACCCAGACCTCACTGCAAACTCTTGCGACGTGCATCTCATGGGCTTTGGTCCCATGTCATCACTTGGTCTCGTGAACTTGCTAGTTAGGGTACTTGCAAGTAAAGCTGGAAGATGTAGTTTTTCGGTCACGGGTCGCCAGTCGTGATCAGTTGCCCGAATCGTGCTAAGTCACTCTTGCACCACCTACATTTCGCTTGTGGGTGACGTTCTCAGGAGTAGGCAGCAGGTCGCTTTTAGATTTGGGCCAATTAAATTTTCCGAATTCGCATGAGCAATTTAATGGATGTGCACCAGGTTACTTTCTACTGAAATGGAATGATGAGATTAGTACTTCGTCACGTGGCTTTTGTTACCATAAGATCTTAACGTTAAACGGATGCTGTATTTCTCGCTCCACAAGACATGAACTGTTTCGCGTTTAAATCCGGGTGAACTAGGCAGTAAATGCTGCCGAAGCAACTTCAGTGAAGAAAAGTGTTGTGCGCGCTGGCAGTGAAAAATATTGTATATAAAGCTTCCTTTATTTCCGTGTCTGTATTGATGTTAACGGATGCGCTAATTAGGATTTATTTGTTAAACAATGAAGCTAGATACCCCAACGCGGAAAAAAGAGAAATAATGCCAACGCTTTATTTTTCTTTCTAAAGTGTGGTCACCCTTTCTGACTTTTTAGATACTGTCTAATATTCAGAAAAATAGGCCAAGCTGTTTTGGTGTGGTTGTGTAACATAACTAACAAGCATGAAATTACATAATTTATGTGCAAATACATGGAGCAAGGACAGCGCACTGAGGGCCGACAAGATTGTCGGATTTCAGGCGGCAATTCGAGATAGTATCACACTTAGCGGCCCACCTACAAAACACTTGCGCACGAGAACAAAGCTCACAATGCTTCCAACATGCAGGCGCGGTGGCGTGGTGGCAATGCACCTACCTCGTCTGAGGCAGACACTAGATTGCGATACGCTAACATTCCTGTGCGAATTTGGGTGCATGTTAAAGAACCCCAGGTGGCTGAAATTTTCGGAACCCTCCACTAAGGCCTCTATCATAATCATGTGGTGGTTTTGGGACGTCAAACCCAACATATAAATCAATCTGTGTGAGCATGCTTTACAACCTGTAGCCTTACGTGGCATGTTTTTGTGGCGATGCCTGAAGAAAATGCCTGACGTTTCAGATCATCTGCTTATAAGCAGTTGCGATTAAAAAAATTCTCAAGCTGAACCGTTATTGAAAACGACGTGCTTTGGTGAATGGAATTCTTCCCTGTGGCGCATTCAATGCCCAGACAAAGCAAGTTGCCCGAGCAATCAAAGCTTTTATGAGTGCTTTTATTACTCTTCTATGTCACTACGATTAGTGATGCTGCGTACTACGTCGAAGAAATCCCATTCAAAGACATGAAAATTTTCTATTTCGGGGATTTTCCCCTGCCAACGTTGACGGAATTCCCAGAAAAATGTTCTGCACAACAGCACTAATTTTTGCCTCCATCCGCGCACACACATATTACAATTACGCCTGTATCACGTACTGTTGACTTTTGAAATAATGACTAGCCACTTCTGCCGTAAAAGAAAAGCATGACTTTATTAATTCATATACTGTTTGTACACTGCACATTGTGGGCTTCACGTATAACACTAGAAATCACTCTGTGTAAATATCAGCAACAAATCTCAAAGGCCTTGCTGGAGTGGTGCATGCTTCAGAACCGGTTTCAGCAGATAAAGACGCACTGTGACCGCTAATTATCGGTCGCCAGGAGAGAATTAAACTATTGCTTAAATTTTCTGTAATGTAACCAGGATACCCTTTTCCCCCTTGGTTCAAAATGACAGGCGAAAATTCTCCCAAAAAAGGAAAAAATTCCTGCACGGAACATAACTGACTGCGGTTTACATGCAAATAATGATGAGTTATGACTTGTGAATTCATTGTTTTCCATGTTTTTTATGTAAGCTTGCTGCGGCTTACTTAAGGCAAAATGTTACAGGTCAGTCACGTAGATTTAAGTGCACATTAAAGAACATCGGGCCGCGTATATTTCCAGAGCCTTCCACTACGACGTCTTCATTTATCATATTGCAGTATTAGGAATCAAAACCACGACAGTTATTATTAGTGTCTCACATGGAAAATGCTACCAACTTCAACGCACGAGGCGACTGCTGCTCAGGGAAGTTTTAGCTCTTCTGATATCTTTACTTTGAGTTAGTGGAAGGGAGCGTGTGATGTTCATCGGCTTCTTGGGTTCCATTTAATGCAGAAGAACATGATATCAAGCTTCTAAAATTTCATACTTGCAATTATTAATTCTATGAACAAACCAAACGTGTTTCATAAAAAAAAATTGTATTGACAAAGTTGTGCAATGTGGTATTGACTAAGTAAGAAATTTTTGAAAATGACAAAAAAAAGTTTTAGCAATCTTTAGACATTGGTACCATAAATGCGGAAGCACTCAAGTACAAGGTAGCTGAAAGCTTTCAACGTCTTACTAACGAGAGGATAGATGACAGAAAAACAAGGATTTTTCTATCCATCACTTGTAGGTTTTAAAATAGCGTAACATGGACAGGTTAAATAAAAAACAGTCCACTGACTGCACTAATTAAAGGAGTATTTTTTGTGAGCGTGCTGATTGAAAAACTATCGCATTCTAAGCTAAGTTTGTTTTAAAAAATACAGTTGTACGACCAATTCAAGTGTCACATTGCGCGTAATATTCTGTACGGTGAAACTTAAAACGCTGCGATATGATATTCTACCGGTGGAATAAAGTCGTCGTGTGGGCTCAAACTCATACTTACTGCTGTTGAGGTGGCCCTGCTGGAGGGTATGTGGGGAAAGGCCTTCGTGTCCTACAAAAAATAATGCAAATATTACCACCAAATAAATAATGTTTTTGCGAAGAATTACGACAGTGAACAGCATAATGCAAAGGTATACTATATCGTCTGAGCGATAATTACCATCACCCGCATGACTACGCCCTCGGTAGGGCAAAGGTTGTTCCCACGCTCATCCGATCAATCCAGTGCTATGCCTTGCGGAGGCAATGTTATCTCCGCAGACTTGCAAAAGTCGACAGCCCTCCTAGCTTCCGTCATTTTCCTGGGGAGCTTGCCTGCTTTTGGAAGTCAGGCTGCTACTCATAATGACCAGTGCTTATCTTGCATTTTGTTAGAAGCCCCCTGCCTACTTATTTTTCTCCATTTCTACTTTGACCTAGCTGTGGACGTCACTTAATGAATTAGGACTGTCATCGAGAAATGGCGTAAGCTCTAGAACATAAGGGTGCCATACAGGCGTCGCTTTTTTTTATGTTGGCTGCTTATTTCCAAAGCATTATTTTGCGAGACTACAGAAACAAGAAACATCGCCGAGAAAGTTTTTTTGGCTTACTGACCCGTGTGCATGTTTTCGTCATATTGTCCTGATTCTTCGCGGAAGAAGCAAAATTTCGGACATTAAACTACTGCTATAACGTTGGTAAAACATTCACCGTTGTGCAAAAGGTTTACCATCACAAGAAATGCCCCTATAAAAAGGGCTGTTAAACAAGACATATTCGCAAAAAGGCAAGTTTACCTGCTTTCAGTATTTAAAAAATGCATGCCAAAAAACTTTCTCGAAAGCGGTTGTAATTCCTGAGAGACAAGGTGTTGGCCATTTTTATCCTTTTACCTACAACTACTCTACGTAAATGCTTTAAGCTCACGAATCGCTTCCAGGACCAGACATCAGGATAAAGGAAAAAGCGTTACCTCTTTCTGGTACATTAATAGATTGCTTTTACTGCAATTATTGCACTATTTTTCATTGTAAGGGAGCTGCAGTGTGGAGGCATAAGCAGCGAAGAGATGGTGGAGGCGGCGGTATAGGTGTGGACTGTACAGACAGTTATTTGAGGTCAGGAGCATCAATCGTCGTAAGGGCACTCTAAAAGCTCATTCACATTCACATTCGATCTAATTAGGTCGAGACGCGACTGATCGTGGCTGCCTTGGCTCAGTCATTCGCTATGTTTCAGTTGTGAAAGAACGTCAGATGTACTGGAACAGGATGTCTGTTTGTTTTGCGAAGAAATGGGGCAACGGGCACCGTGTGATGGAATATTCTGTGTTGCTGGAACGGACAACGTGGAGCACAAAAAACATGAGCTTTAGCCGTGGCAAACACGATGCGAAATTGACGCACGCGTCTCCCCTCATCTCCTTCTCTAGTCATAAAGGGGTGCGTTGTGGCGAAGTAGGCGGGATAGCGCGCGTCGCATTTCTTTCATGGTCCTCCTCTTGGCAGATGTCAGTAGCAGCGGCCGTCAAATAAGAGATATGTAGTGCTGCCTGGAAAGCGGACGATTCTTATAGATTGCCCTCATTTATGACAATTGGGTGCCTTTCGCTTTGTGCCACCGCGGAGGTCACAGGATAGAATCCAAGTCGTGGCTGTCGCATTTCGATGGAGGTGCAATGATGAAGGCTCCTTTATTTAGATTTGAGTGCACGTTAAAAAGCCCCAGGTGGTGCTAATTTCCGAGGCACTCCACTACGGTGTCTCGCATGATCAAAGCCTCGTTGTAGGACCTAAAAATCATATAAACTATTAGTGTATTTGACAGAAGTTGTAAATGGTGGCGCGAGCAGTGCTAGTGGAAGGTGCGAGGGAGCCTCAACGTTTAGGAACTTTGATTTATTTTTCGACTCAGTCGGTAGGATGTGAGCTACACCCTAATATAATGGCTTGACTGAAGTTTTCCTGATCGTCGTATAATGTTGAGTGCAAATTGTCCGTACTCGTTCTGAAGTTGAAATATGATTTGTACATAAACCAATATAGTCGCTACGAACGAAGTTAACGCTTGAACAGACTCCTGTATGTTTGGGTCAATCACAACGAGGCCATGACCCGGCCACCAGGCTAAGATAATCTATGACGTAAGAACAGATGCCCAATGCAAGAAGTTGCTCGTGTAAACGAACTATGATATAAGACCTGTTCATGCTTCACAAAAATGCTGTGAAATATGAATATTACTGCACAAGAACGATCATTGGCTTGCATGCCATAAAAGTGGGGAAGTGGCAAACTATTATGCGTGTTTTTTACCGGTGCCAACACATACGCCGTCATTGACTAAGCTAGTTATGTTCTGCCAGCTGTTAAAAGTTGATTGCATATAAAGCATCATACGTACGGAGGTCCAGTAGCAAAAGGAGGAGCAGGTGTGGGTGAAGGACGTCTGGGTCTGGAGGGGTTGAGAAAACAAAGAACAGACAAATGAATACCAATCACTTGCAATGAAATATACGATTGAAGCCCCCACGATGAGTGCTGATGAAGGTGATACTGGAAACTTAGACATATATTGTATTTACACACCGATATGAACACAATTAAGAGTCGTAGGTCAGAGGTTTGTTTGACCTGGTTTAGAGCAGTAAAGCACGAGCCTGTTCGATACTGTATGCGAAACGTCCTCATTCACTTACTGCCCGAGTAGCTACGGAGCTTTTTTAAGATCTCGTAGATGCAAAAATTTGGAAGAGCTACAAAGAATACTGCCGGTTTGATTAGTTCAGCTTTACGGATGGACGAAATGCGGCATCGGAACTCTACATAGTTCACGTGCCTGAACTATGTAGTGAGTTCATTTGCTGACTTCTTTGTAGTGACTTCTTTGGGACTTCATTTCGCTGGTAAAACACCGTAAGGAAAAGTGAAATTTTCGTCCAGCATCTCCTTTCAATGCTTAAACTTAACACCCGTCACCGCTTAATAGCGTTTTTTTTTAAGTCATCATTTCGTAACTTTTACAAGTACGTTCCTCGCAGTAACGAACAGCTCCATGCGTGGCAACAAGATGTTCTTGCAAAAGCACCACCAGGAGCGTGATACGATTCGAGAGCGAGACTTGAACTCCGCAATAATGACGAATCGTCCTCGGTTAACTCTAGGAAGACTGAGCGTGCTTGCACGCTGGTAGAACAGCGAATATTTTTTTTCAATCTTTCAGGAGTCTACCCTACACATTTTGATGCAAGTGAGGTAATGAATAAGAAATATAGTCATTCGCATTCGAGGCAAAAGAAAAAAAACAGAAAGCTATGTACTATTCAACTTAGGTGAATTTTGTTACTTTTGCGAAGTACTTCGCTCTCTTGTGTAGTACATGCTCTTGGTGGACAGTCTACACTGCACGGTTCGAAACATACGGAAGCGTTTTCCGGGGTTTTGACGTGGGCCGATAGCCGCGTCTTGTTGTTGGCCGTGGTGCGCTGGAGAGAGAAAGTCAAACAAGCGAAACGGTGGAGACATGTAGTACATCGTCATCAGTACACACAATATTTATGACGTATGTGTATTCATAAAAGAGAGAAGGCTCAGTTCGTTTGTGCATTCACCTGAGGGCAAAAGAATGCCCGCTTTTTATCAACGAGCGCTTAATGGTGGAAATAAGCGGATCACCTATAAAAAGGCCGTGGACGGTGTCATGTAAGCAGTTTACTTCTTCCAAGGCTTCCAAGCAAGCGAAGGCAAGGCTAGATATTCATGACAACCAAGTTGCTGTCTCTTACGACCATGTCTAAGCTTTCCATGCAGCTATTTTATAATAAAAATTTCTCGAGTCGTAAGTGGAGCCCAATGACCGCGTTAGGAACGTGGGCCCGAATGACATAGCGGATTCCGCATTTGACTTTTACTACTATTTGAACGCATCAACAGTTGACATTACTACTGGCATGGGTAGCATGTGCGTCTTGGTGGTTGCATGCTGGAGCCGTGCGTATATGTGGCTTGATTTAGAGGCTCTGCCTGCAGATTTTCTTTTTCCCGCTACCTATAGAGGGCACTTCAACGAACCCTAGGCCGGGTTTAAGTTTATACCGACGCAAATTGTGACGACGTGACCAAATGCGTGTTGCAGACTTTTGGATGATGCAAGCCACATACGTTTTAGTTCTGCTTAATTGCTCAACTAGGGAAGATTAGTTAACCAAATTTAACCAACATTGGAAGCAACGCAACTGACCAAAACTTCGAAATAGAAAGTTATATATTGATTTGCAAAAACTCGGATAAGATAGTTGGCAACTTCGTATCATTAAAGTATTACTGGGTTTCTTCTTACGGCACATTTATATTAATTTTATTTTATTACCTTACAAGCCTAACAGGGGCATTACATAAAAGGAGAGAACTCATATAGTCATTATACATTAGCTAAAAATTACAGAGACATAAGTGTGTAAATAAAATACGACGCACGTAAGAAATATAGGAACATAATTGGGTATGATGTATAAAACAGTAGAAATAACAAAAAATAACATTCATTAGTTTGTTCTAGAAACGCACAGATAATTTTTTGCATGCATGTGGGGATGCTGGTTAGAGCGGTTATTTGTGGTATTGGCTGTGCCAATTTGTGGCTGTGCGGCAAAATAGTGAACCTGAAGAAACACTAGTACGAGTACGAGGGCGTTCAAATTGATACATGAGCAGAGTTCGATGTGGCGTGAGGGCAGCGGGAATAATTTGCGATAGTTGATTAAGCGAGCTATCATCATAATTTTTACAAATAGATAGGGATGATACACGGTATCGAGTAGCAAAGGTGGGCAAACCCGATTCTATTTGTAATGATGACACGCTGACACGGCATGAATATTCAGACTGATACTAAAGTTAACAGCGCAAAAAAAAAAAAGACGGAGAAAAGATGATCAACACTACACAAGCGCTGAATATTTGGAGTGTATCAACTTTGTAGCACGGTTTGTAGAAGACATAGAGTGCTTTCTTAAAATAATACTGGGCACATCACATGCGTTTTTCTTTCAACTGAATGTAACCAGCACTTCACTTTTAAAGGCATCTGGAAATATCATAGGCGCCATGCTATGCCACTCTTGGTTGCCGGAGAAACGTCAATTGTTGTACGTCCTATGTGATACCACAGTAACTGAAGGGGTGTTGTTATCCCCGGTCAGTATTTTTCATATATTTGACGATACATAAGCAATGTTTTATTCATTGTAGGTATACTGAAGAAGCGCACTAAATGGGGCTGAGTACCTGCACTGCTGTCAGAATACATAATAATGAACATATGCTGACATATAGGGCAACGCGTGGGCGACTATATGAGGTAGCTATTGTTGATGCAGAACAATCAAATTCAAGCTTACTGTAATAACTTCACTGTAACGTGAACTTTTTTCCTCCAGATTTTTGCGACCAGAAGTCGACCCACGCGTTACGTAAATTAGAACACTGAATTTCTATTTTATTCTTCATGGACGCAATGTAAGGTCACCCATCGCATTACAAAATTATTGCGTTACAATCGCGTTCATAGAATATTCGGCAAAACTGTTGCGAAGCATGATCACTCTGTTTACTCGCTTCAGCACTCAGGATTCACCTCTCGCCATTCCCGGTTCTTGATTCACCCGTTTACACTTTTGCACTCCGGTATGTCAGAAGCCGAACATTTTTTTCATGTGTTCGCAAAATAGTTCAAGAATGCAGTCACTAGATGACCACGTGTTTCCTCTTCAGTTGCAGGGAAAGACACATAGCCGCGAGGGCTAGCAGTGGAAGACTAATTTACACTTATTTTTTCGGCAAGAGTCGTACATTTCGATCATGCGTATTGATTGATTGCACATAGTTAAGAGGTAGATACTCACGGTGCCGGTGTTGCAGCAGGTGGCTGGAAAGGGGGTGGCTGGTAAGGAGGTTGCTGCGGGGCAGGAGGGAAAGATGGGAAAGGAGCTTCAGGGGAAGCAGCTCCGGGGGGTGGAGTGTAAGCAGGGCCCGGGCGCCTGGTTGCTGGCCGTGGTGTTGCTCTGCAAAAGCAACATGCATTTAGTTCAGCAAAACGAACGGCGTTCACACAACAAAAACACTCATCGAAATCCAACGCCGCAACGCTTTACGTTTATAAGTGCTGAGTGGCCAGCATGATTCGTTAATATACCATGGCGACTGGCCGAAATATTCTAACAACAATTATGTCAATGTGAATGTGAGCCCTTATCCCGTGGTGAAGCATCGGTTTTTTATACAAGCACCGCCATACTTCTCATCGTAATCGCTGGTGCTGGCATGTGGTCCCAGGAAAATTGGCGACACCTTTTCGAAAACTTGCAAAACATGCTATCGTTGCTACAAGAGCTGATATTACAGATGCTTTAAACGGTGAAAACCTGTCCCCGGAAACGAACCGGCAAAAATGTATGCCCTCATGAATGTGTCTAGCTGATGTGTTTGTTTCTGCACTGACCGTTGTTTTTACCTGTAAATATTTTTTATATTTATCTATATCACTCACTTCATACTATCCAAAGAGAAATTTTGTTACATAAAGCACAGCACTTCCGTGTTATCTCTGGGTCCGTATATATAGAAAGAAGAAATACAAAGCATTACTGTTTTCTTGCTGAAAGTAAGCACTTTGATTCCTTAAGTTTTGAAAATTACGGAAGAGTGTAGATTATAGGTAAATTTTTTAGGTGGCCATGCAACAAAGTTTTCATTAGCGTTAACATGAAATTCTGCAAAGGCATTTATAGTGAAGATTATGCTGACCCGTTTGCAGCAGTTTTTTCGCGGTGATCAGTAGTGTAGCTCGAAGAGCCTAATGCAGACACGTCAAGAATAGATGCTCAATAAGTGTCACATTAGAATAGCTGTCAAAATGCGGCAACCATGCCTTCAAGATGGCATGGGAATAATTTAAACACACCTGGTGTTTCATGTCACCAGAACCAGAGAATTTAAAAAAGTAATTGTTAATCGCAATAACTCAAAGTAACGCCACGTGGTTTGCCACCACGCGTTCTTTAAGATAATTTTATAATGCGCCTAATTGTTGATGAACTGAGAAAATTATGGAATTTTTAAATATTCGAGATAGGGACAAGGGCATGTCATTGCGTGGTGGTGGGAATTTCAAACCGATGGATCCATTTTTTTTTGCCAAAACGTTACATGATGCGTAGCAATGTTTTTCCCTGCGTTTCAAGGAAGGCCGCAGAATATTGATATCACGTGACCGCCACAATGCGTTATCATAATGCAGTGCCCTCAAGCATACCTCAAGAGAAACCAGCCGTCCAAGCGGATCGTTGCGAAATGAGCGACCGCGGCTGTAGGCATTGGCTTCACAGCGCGTCAGCATTTTTGAGAGCCACAATCAGCCAGGAAACGCCGTCGTCCCTGATAAGCGATGAATTGACGGTCCGCACACGTGGTTGGTCTTCCTTTAAACATGGTTGTGCTGTTTTACGGTAACACACGGCGGCAGTCATGTGGTATAGGGTCATATTTGGCGGATTTTCTTTAAACGCCGGAAAAAATGGTTATGTAGCTTCTAATGTAGCTGTGAAAAAGTTTATCGGTCAGAGGTCTGTCGACGATGTTTTCTTTGGATAGCTAGCTCCTCTGTGGAGCTGAATACGGGAGTCATTTCCCGCTCTTCGTGGGGAGGAGGGCCGGCGTTGTGTGTATACAAGAGAAATGTTTATTGAATACGATAGTCTTTCTCAGCGTACTTTGACGCAAAATTTCAGGTCTTTCTGTCTGTCTGTACATTTGTGTTTTTGTAGGCCGAAACGATACCACAAACGGCCGAAATTCAACCCCATCTGTAGCACCCACCAATATTGCCCAAGTTTCAGCGTTCATACTTGTGCAATTGTCAATTAAAAAGCAGTTATTTCGCATATCTGAGGCACCATAGCAACACATATATATTCTGTATGAGTGTGTTTATACTAGAGAAGGCATACATAAGTGATTCTAAGGACCGTAGCGATTATCACGCTGTGCTGACAACGCAACGCTCTGCACAAAAAGGCAAGTGTTTGCGACATTTTGCTAAGACGACATGGTGGCGGCACCTGCCTGTTGCTTTGCGTTCTACACCTTATCGCTTCCGATACAGGCATTCCTTCGTTTTTGCTGATAACTGCCAGATAGCGCTCGTGTTTCACGTGTATGGACGCCCTCTTTCGCCTTCGCTGCACGGATCGAGGAACTCTAACGCAGCGCCTCCAGAATAAAATTCCCCAATTTTCTCGCGCAGAACAACAAATAACCGTTTTGTTCACTCTCTCCAGACGCAAGACGTCTTTCGACGACATTTGCAGTGAAACATGCAGATACGAGGCCAATTTTGTATTTGCAATTGAACTTTTTTAGAGTCAATTGAATATGCCAGAGCTTAGCGACAGTCGTTTCCCCTGATTGGTTACAGTTGGCACGTACATTTAGTCAGAACAATTAAATCTGTAGTCTGTATCCTCGGAGTGTTCAGCTATGGGGTTCTGATCTCTTGCGAAGTTACGGATGTCGTTGTATGGTCGTAGTATTTCTTTCGGGATTTTTGTTTCGCGCATGTAACTCGAGTTGCAGCCGGCGCAAAGAATCCTTGGGCTCGCTCTCTTGGTGGCTTGTTATCGCGAACTGGTAAAGAATACACTAATGTTTTCGCATGCCTGTAAGCCACTAGGACGCCTTCTTTTCTGAGTTAGTAGGTGACGGTCTCACTAGCGCTTCAGATATTTGGGAGAGTGAGATGCTTAAATGGTGGTGTTGAATTGGGCACTTGATGCTGTATTTATCGGTGTGCGTCACTGTCCTTAGGAATTGAATTGCTTTCCGAATAAAGGTTCTTGGATAGCTGCTCTTTGAAAATGGTGGAGTGATAAACAATCAGCTCTCGCCACTGCCTATAGTTTATGTGGTATATATGAAGTTTTTGACAAACACTGAGAAATTGTCGAACAATCTAGCTAACAAGTCCGACGGAACATTTATGTGCTGCGGTTTTTCTTTGAAGCGGTGGCCTGAAACTGTTTATTAGGAGTAATATAATACTATTCGAGCTTCAGATGAAATCTGCTTGAATATCAACAGTCCAGCTTCATTTTGAAGTGGATCGTGTACTTAGATTCAGGTGCACGGTTAAAAATGCTTGGTAGTCGAAACTTTCTCAGACCTCCACCACTGCGTCTCTCACAATTGTATCGTGATTTTTGGACGTTACACCCAATAGCAATTATTATTATAATTTTCCTGCGGATGTTTCCTTTTGTCATCTTTAAACGAGAACACGTGCAGTGCGCCAGCATCAGAAACTAGTGCGTTGCCTCAGCATAGATGGCGAGCTGCTACCCACGCGTTTTCCAATGCGTTCACGCAACTTCGTCACTCCGGCTCTGCAGGAGAGCCGCGCGTTGCGCTAGAAGGACCTCGTACGCGCACCAGCACGTTCGCGAGGAGAAGGTGTTTCGCACAAATTTGTTCAGTTGTTTTTTTCGCAACATTCCTAATCTTTCATTTCCTCTTGTCATGAGCTACAGTTTGCGGCGTTTCAGATGATTTCTTGAATTCGTTCTTTGCAATGGTACACGAGGAAAGGAACCTTTTTCGGATGAAAAAAAAAAGGGGGGGGGGGCTATCAGCGAGCTTTACCAGAGGAAGCGACACCGCCTCCCCACAACCAGGAAATTCCAGGGGTAATTCTCCTTCATGACACTCACGGATATGGTGTAGAAACCTGAGGAATTGCGTATTGAGGGCCATATGCAACAGTTGGTCCGACAAGAATAGGTGGTCCAATCACAATTGGTGGCTGGTATACAGGTGGCTGGTACACAGGCGGCTGGTACGCAGGTGGCTGGTACGAAGGAGGAGAAGTAGGCTTTGGAGCTTGCGAGGGTGGTGGGGTGTATGCCGGAGGCGGCCGTCTTGTCGGAGGCCGAGGAGGTGACCTGAAATCGATCGCAGTCACCATGACACATTACACAGACCCAGCTGCGAAGCAACGAGAGGAAGACTGGAGGGTGGTGGTGCTATGGTGCTAATAGTGCTCAAACGTACTGATTCATGCACTGTGCCACATTTTTCCCGACATCTAGGTAATGAGGTTATGTCGATATTGGAAGGTGGCAAAGGGGTGGTAGCGCTGATGGTGATCCAACATTCTGCTTCATACACTGTACCACAATTTTCAGATGGGCAGGTCGTAGGAGTGGGAAGATGGCTAGCGGTGCTGGAACTGATGTAGATTCTACATACTGTTATATACACTGTACTACATTGTCCAGACGGGCAGGTCGTAAGATTACGTAGGAGTAGGAAGATGGCAGGAAGTGGTGGTGCTGATGGTGATGCAACATTCAGTTTCACACGTTGTACCACATTTTCCAGATGGGCAGGTCATAAGAGTGGCAAGATGGCAAGGGGTGGTGGTACTGATGTAGATCCAACATACTGTTATATACACTGTACTACATTTTCCAGACGGGCAGGTCGTGAGATTATGTAGGAGTGGGAAGATGGCTGGGGGTCGTGGTGCTGATGTAGATCTAACATACTGTTATATACACTGTACTACATTTTCCAGACGGGCAGGTCGTGAGATTACGTAGGAGTGGGAAGATGGCAGGGGGTCGTGGTGCTGATGGTGATCAAACATTCAGTTTCACACGTTGTACCCCATTTTCCAGATGGGTAGGTCATAAAAGTGGGAAGATGGCAAGGAGTGGTGGTACTGATGTAAATCCAACATACGGTTATATACGCTGTACTACATTTTCCAGACAGCAGGTCGTAACATTATTAGGAGTAGGAAGATTGCAGGGGTGGTGGTGCTGATGGTGATCCAACATTCAGTTTCACAGGTTGTACCACATTTTCCAGATGGGCAGGTCATAAGAGCGGGAAGATGGCAAGGGGTGGTGGTACTGATGTAGATCCAACATACTGTTATATACACTGTATTACATTTTCCAAATGGGCAGGTCGTGAGATTACGTAGGAGTGGGAAGATGGCAAAGGGTCGTGGTGCTGATGTAGATCCAACATACTGTTATATACACTGTACTACATTTTCCAGACGGGCAGGTCGTGAGATTACGTAGGAGTGGGAAGATGGCAGGGGGTCGTGGTGCTGATGGTGATCAAACATTCAGTTTCACACGTTGTACCACATTTTCCAGATGGGCAGGTCATAAGAGCGGGAAGATGGCAAGGGGTGGTGGTACTGATGTAGATCCAACATACTGTTATATACACTGTACTACATTTTCCAGACGGGCAGGTCGTGAGATTACGTAGGAGTGGGAAGATGGCAGGGGGTCGTGGTGCTGATGGTGATCCAACATTCAGTTTCACACGCTGTACCACACTTTCCAGATGGGCAGGTCATAAGAGGGAGAAGATGGCAAGGGGTGGTGGTACTGAAGTAGATCCAACATACTGTTTTATACACTGTACTACATTTTCAAGATGGAAATGTCGTGAGTTCACGTAGAAATGGGAAAATGGCAGGGGGTGGTGGTGCTGATGGTGATCCAACCTCCAGACAGGCCGATCATGAGGTTAGGAGTGAAATGGAAAGAAGGCAGGGAAGAGGTGGTGGTACGGTGTTGAGTTTTCCTGTGTTATACACTGCACCACATTTGGTAGACCGACGGTCGTGAAATCGACAGGTCGTGTGTCTTCATATTTCATCAAAAGTAATGCCGAGAAAAGGTTTATGCTTGTGCAGAACAATGCTGTATTCAATGCCACGACAACAAGAAGAAATGAATGTATGAGTGGGGGCTAATGCATGGATACACAATGAGCCAACAGGTTGGAAGAACGGGAAGGGGTGCCAAACGCAAGCTAGACAATATTTCAGTGGTGATATTTTTGTTGAAGGCGTCTTCATCTCTAGCTTGTTAACTTTACATGTTAATAAGGGTTGTAGCGCAAGCCCGAATATGTTGAGAGAAAAGCATAACAAATAGCGAGGAACGGAATGCAAATAGGAACAACACGAGCACTGGTGTTGTCAATCTTTGCCCTTTGTTCCTCACCTACCGTTTCTCTTTTCTTTCAGAACTTTCGTGCTTGCGCTGCAACCCCTATTAACACGTAATTCAACCAAATAGGCTAAATAGCCGTTCTTCGTGTTGTTAGCTTTAAGCGTGTTAGTTGTTAACGACGTTTCCTGTGATGCACCTGCCGGCACAAAACAGGAAAAAGTAACCTGCTTGTAAACGAACTTCCTGTTGCCTTGACAGATAATAGCGCACTTGTTGGAACGTTGGTTCCACCTGCTGTTCAGGAATTTATCATTATTTGAAGCTTCCATTTTTCCCTGTAATTCTGTCTCAAGTGATAAAATATTGACTGCAACAGCCTGCGCAAGCAAACGGCTCTCGTTGGGCATGACTTCAGTGCGATGCTCGGCGCTCCGTTCCCCTACAATGCACTGCGCCCATTCACCAAGGGCAAAAAAGGCGTTGCTATTTCCAGAATTACGTTTTTACATTCTCTGCAACTTTGTTGTTATCTACGATGTTTTTACTTATAAACCAGCGCTTGTCAACCATTTTGTTTGTTTTTGATGTTCTTTTGTGAAAGCAGGCCATGTAACCTTACGTGAATGGCGATTCTTTCAAGTGGCCCAGTTTATGCAGTAGCGTGTGCAATTAACTGTGCTTTGCTCTTCGAAACATAGAAAGCCCCACCGAGGTGGCCTAGTGGCTAAGGTACTCGGCTGATGACCCGCAGGTCACGCGATTGAATCCCGGCTGCGGCGGCTGCATTTTCGGTCGAGACGAAAATGCTGTAGGCCCATCAGCTCAGATTTGGGTGCATGTTAAAGAGCCCCAGGTGGTTGAAATTTCCAGAGCCCTCCACTACGGCGTCTCTCATAATCATATATGGTGGTTTTAAGATGTTAAACCCACATATCATCATCGAAACATTGAAAATTCACGACTGACTTTCTTTGTGGCTACCACGTGTATCTGCGCACCTTGTCATGCCTGGGTTGTATATCGCAATAAGATTACAATTTACGATATGATTACGCTGTAGCGTTGTAATAATTTTGAGAATGTTGGACTGTTTACATTAATCTGAGGCGTTCAAGCATTCCGCCATAATGAAAGTGCAACGCGTGCGTCGTCTGATTACGTTCTGGATTTCGTAAGGAGAGTTATTAAAATACTCCTAAGTTGAATTGGGCCTGTTTATTCGAAATGGTAGAACTCACGGTGGCCTGAATGGTGGCGCTGGAGGCCTTGGAGGTGGTGCCCTGTTGAGATGGAGACATTTGGTTGCTCGAAACATTTTGAGAAAAAAACGAAAGAATACAACAGAGAAAGTTGCGTGAGTTTTGTCCACAGTGATTGTCATTTGCACTTAAATTTGCTTTAGCGAGGATTTCGACATGTCACGGTAAAAAATTGATGGGGTTAGCTTTCTCGAGAAGAAGAATGTTGGCTGGTATAAGCAGTTATCCCCTATGCATGTAGCAAGCGGTTTGGCTGGTCGCAAAAAGTAATGAGAGCTGGTCAGTTCTTGTTTCTGTCTTTTCTAATTTTATGAGATGTTCTCGCGCTTAATGCCGCCGTTCGTATTTTAGCGACAAGGTGAGTATTTACTGAACGTGTTGACTCACTTTTGTTGGCACTGGTAACCAGGCAAAATGAGAAGCGCAACTTCGGTTCGCGTGGTCAAATCAGCTGCGTTTAGGGTCACTGTGTGAGATGTGCTCGTGTATCTGTCTGCACAGACATCATGCTCGGTAGTTTTGTTAAGTACGCGGTTGTTTGCTCAAAATATGGGGCCTATGCAACTGGCAACATCCTTGTAGAATAAAGGGAAAGTGGGCTAGTTTGTTAGGGTTCATAGTGAATTGTATGGGGCAGCGTTAGGACCAATACAAGAACTAGAAAATCTCGTGTTCCTTTTTTTCTCGTTCTTGTGTTTGCCCTAACTCTGCGCCATGCAATTCGCCAGCAACATTCTTGTAGCTGTTATATGCATTCTTATCGGTATCAGTGGTTCGCATTCAGGGCTTAGCTAATTTTTTCAGGGTTCAACCGCCTTCTCCTCTCTCTTAACGAAGAGTGTAGGGAAAGAACGGTTTTTGGCGACGCTAACGACGGAATCACCCTTTTCGCTCTTGCCATCGCAGTGTAGGCAGATCACGGCAACCGCAGAAGCCCTACATAGTACGAAGGAAGTTTGTTTAAATGCAACGCCTGAATAAGTAACAAAGAAATAGAAATTTTACTGTCCCTCTTGGTGAAACAAAATTGCTGATTTGTTGTTGTGTCGTTGAATTAAATTTCCCCTTAGGAGCCCCTAAAGAACCTCTGAAAATACCAAAAACGAGCGTTTTATTCTCTCTCGCAAATTCCCGTCTTCGCGGCCAAATTCGTGACGCCAGCAGTTTGTTCACATGCCGTTAAGATAAAGTAAGCTCTCTATTGGTCAATATATGAGAGATGCATGTTGTGAATTATCTCGTACTCTCCTTTGCCATACAGCTGCATGACCGTTCTCCCTTGTCTCGCCGGGCTGTCTTGCGCGATAAATTGAGTGCGTTTCCTTTTATGCATTTGCGACTGCGTAAGCAAAGACGACATCACGTAGTCGAAAAACGCGTAATATTACCGGCACAATGCTTAGCGTGGACATTCGACACGTGTCATGAAGGAATAAGTGGCGATTGGGAGATAGCGCTTTTAGAAAGAGTAGTGGAAGTGGGAAGTAAAAAACTAAAGTCTACCCTTCGAACTAGGTGCGGTTTAGGCGCATTTTATGATAGTCCCAGGCATTACGGTAATGAGGCTCTCGTGTAGTTCTACAAAAGTTGTCGCCCGTGTGTTTTCGCAGTGATTCAATTGTCGTATGTCAATGCACTCACGGTGGCCTGGCTGGCGGTCCTGAAGGTGGCGGGTAAGAAGGCGGCTGCCGTGCCGGTGGACGTGTTGACAGGCTCCTGCATTTTAGAAAACGTGAATATTATCACTGCATTGTTTACAGGCACCATTGATACACAACACATCACGCATCAAGTAGAAGGTGACAATAAGTGTTAAGTTAGGGGGCATGAACATAAATGTTGCAATATAACGTCACGTAGGAAAGGAAACAAATTCTGGAGACAGCCTGTTATGGCTGCCCGTACTGCGATCTTTTCCAACCCCTTACACTGATGCAAATGTGGCGTCCGTGCACTCCCGTCACTTGCAGTTTTCAAGGCCCAGTTACCCGAACCTCGTGCAATGGCGCAGCTTGGTTGAACGTGACTAAGACACAAGCCGCTAGGCCTGCGCTGAACGCGCAGCACTGTCAAAACGAAAGTTAGAAGAGCAGCCTTTAAGAGCCTTTTTTAACACACATCGGGTAGGTGTTGCAAACACACTTTGCAGGGTATTCACTACGATATTAATCATTGTGTAGTAGGCAGGTATTCACTATGCCATCCTGCGCCATTCTTCAGAGAAGTGGTATACTTGCGGTACACTTGAAAGTTACTTTGTGCAATTTTTGTTTGCTGTGGCTGGCGATGATGAACAATTATGCCAGAAGCTTTTGTAATCCCCACAATCGCCTACAGTGGCTATGCGCCACACCTAATAGGTAAACAAGATCAATGTTTTGTAAAAGGTTGGAGCATTCGACAACCCACTCGTTGTTCAATTCGCATTATCCGACAGATGATTGTTTCTTTGATATTCTATAATGCTTCATTTCTCATATAAACGCGATTCTTTTCCAGACGTGAAGCTTGCCTGGGGCCGATTTGCAATGGATGCCCTAGCACCGGCGTGGCTAACTGGTTGAATACTGGGCTGACACGCACGGCACCCGGGTTTGAATCGCATTGTGTCCTTAATGCTTTCATTTACTCACTTTTTTATTATTTCGTGTGGTAGTGGTCATGGACACCGGCGGTGACAGACAACTACGGCGAGCTCGTGACCCGTGTTGTGATCTCATAGCAGCTCGCTGTAAAATTATCCACTGCCTGTCAAACTGGCCAGTGTATTGCAGAATGGTGAGACTTGGGCCACGGGTGGTCGGTAAATTTGGACGCTCCGCGTGCGCGGTTCAATACCATGGAAGGGGCTGACGATGTCGGTGTATGTGTCGCAAAGCCTCTACGACCCAGTAGAGACGTTCCGAGAGGAACTAAACTGCAGCAATGCAGGATAAATATGCTTTGGTACGGCCCCTCACGTAGCAGATAGCATTGCTCGCATAAATAGCTACGTATGCTTCTCCTCAACTTTTCCCAACTGGTTGTCATTATATAGAAAAGAATCGGCTTGTCTGCCAGCGTTACCGCGCTAACGTAATGCATGGAACGATAATGTGGAGATGACGTAAAACTTGGCAATATAGTAGCACTTGCGCAGCGACAACAGTTCTTCTGAATCGCCGTCAGGTTAATGTCACAAGGCGTCCGATCATACTCGAGCTTTCCAGTTACAGCAGTTACTTAACGCACCCAATGGGTTCCCCACGGACGAATCCTTGTTCGTGCCTTATGCGCAACGAATAGTGCCACCCTTAGAACCACTGTTGTTGAACGAACTTCCTAACAAGGTCTTTGGACTGCCGCTGATATGCTCGTGCTGCGCTCTGATTTCACATTGAAATATTCCGATCGTCAGTGGCATTATTCATCCCAGAATTTTCGCTTAGTACCGAAATGCTTTCAGGAACGTCGAAAAAAGAATAAGTATAGATTATTCATTGGAACATCTTGTCTCATTTATAATATACTGTCAGTGAACGCATATTTGATCAAGGAAAGAAAGTTATTTATAAAAAGTCGCAAAAATTGTGTTTCACCTAAGATGCTAAAAAAACACAATGCATCACTTTCAGCAAGCGTGAGTTAGCAAGTTATGTGCCTACGTGAAGCAGCCTAATAAAGTCAAGTTTCAGTATCAATAACGCAAGGAATGCTGTGGTAAATGCAAAAAAAACAAACAAACAAAAACGTGGGTCACAACGTGCGCAGGAAGGGAGTAACTAAGTGAGAGAAAGAATAAAGATCAAATGTTACATTTTCTGTGTGTGGCTTGCCTGACAGCGTAAATCAGGTTATTTTACGCGCCGTATTAACATGTATGCCTTTTATCTCAGGATACATTAGGGCAATGCACGCATGATTGAAACAAGAGAAAAACAGTTGTTTCAAGCGTGGCAGAGAGGCCTGAATTATATTCTAACATACACTAATGAAAGATTTCTGGGGTTTCACGTGCCGAAACGAACAATATTGTGAGGCGTAGCGTAGTTGCGACGGCAGATTAATTTTCAACTCGTGACTTTTTTGAAGTGTGCCTAAATATATTTTCAAGGATGTGACTGCTTTGTCAACGCCATCGTAGTGTGCCCCCCGTGACTCGTATTGAAACCACGATGTTGAGCATGAGCCTTACCACGCCTCAGTCTTCTAGAAACCACGCCAGTTAATATTGTTGTGACCGACTATCATGCGCGCACATTACTGGTAGACTGCAGGAACACACAAACATAATAGGTAAGGTTGCAGTCTCACCCTTCATTTTAAAAGCAGTATTTGTGCCCCCCCCCATTTTTTTAGTCAATGACTATTCTTTGTTGATATACGCACGAATTTGATAACAATATTATCTGATGACCCGATTGCTGCCCTTCAACCTGCCATGGTAGCTTAGCAGTTAAGGTGGGGCACTGTTACGTTCGAAAACACCATTGGTGGTCACAACATCGGCATTTCCATGAGGACGAAAGAGCATCCGCGCATTTAGATTTAGGTGCCCGTTAAAAAAGCCCAAAGGGTCAAAACTAATCCGGAGACCCACACTATGGCAAGCTTCACAATCCTATCATTGTTTTGGCGCGTTAACTTTCAGTAGTTTCAACAATCATTTCTGATCTTCTCGGGGAAGCGTGTATCAGGAGGGTTCATGTGCTCTCTTTCATTAAGGAACAGAATTTGTACATAAGCCGCGACACTTCACAGTATAGCAGTTTCATTTTGATTACTTAACATGTTCACGTGGCTCTGACTACTGATGCGGAGTGCAACATGATTTTAAATAAGGCATTGTTGTTCGAAGTACACCCATGCGTGTCTTTTGTCTCGTACTCTCCTCTAGCTAGGGGAAACCTATACGAAAGCAGCAATTGAAGATAAACTCTAAGCACTTAGGCAAGCAGCAAGTAAATTCTATCAAAGTAATGCTGACCTAATCAAAAACAACTACGGAACAATGTTCCTATACACAAGCTATATAAAAATAACCTGATTTCACCTGGTGCATGATAAGTGCGGCAATGGTAATAGCAATTTCAGTGGCTCAGTGAAACTGACAGAAAACGCGTATTCACTAATGTGCAGCTGTCGAAGTTTGAGGAACAGGGCACTGAAGTTGCATGTATAACAATCAGTGAAGTTAGCAGTGCGCTAAAAGGCGCAACTTTATAAGGGCTACTTTGTTTATGATTAGAACTGGGGACGGGAATATCATGGCTGAGTAGCCAGAAATTACAGATAAAAGATAATGAAGATGTAAGGAGATCGCTAAAATCTGTCACCATTCCTCAAGGCATGAAACTAACCAATCAGCTGGAAAAACAACAATACACGTGAAGATAGAGGCAAGATTTTGAAGACTGTCAACTGTTGTGCTTACTTTTAGTATTGTACGAAGTATTCGAGGAGGTACTTTCGAGTAAGATGAGAGAGGAAGTTGACTTTCAAGGCGAGATTTACCCCCTTATTGAGAAACGCTCCTTGACTTGAACATGACTTGCCACCACCTTCAATGCAACACAAACGCGTTTCGAACGAGCTGTATTGAAGGCGATGATAAGTGAAGTTCAAGTCAACTCCAAGACAAGCAGCGCTTTTGAATACGGGAGTTAGACACATCATAAAACGCGGAAATTGACCGTCGGCATCGGTGTCAACATGACAGATGCGAAAAATTATCAACAAGCCATGGCATCACATCTGACATCATGGTTACATCAGGATGATGGCAATATGACGTAACAGAAGGTTTCGCCACATGGTGATGGGATAGCTCAGTCAAAGGCTGCCTGATCACGGAGGCAGTGCAACGTCAAATCAGTCGCAAAAAACTTGCAGCGCCTCTCATCCTGGAGGTGCTACTAAATTTTCTAAAGTGCAGGAACCTTCCGGGGAGAGCAAAGCAGGGTCAGCACGGCGAGTGAGAAGAAAGCTTTCTTCTTCGAGTCGTTTTAGGTAAATGAATGAGGAATCTTGTGAGTAAACAATAACCTAGATGCAAGCTGGCTTTTGTAAAAGAGTCATCGCACTGAACGCAAGCCACACGCCTGAAGAAAAAAAAAAAGAGGAGGAAGTGTTCTAGATCATGACGCGTGCGGACGAGGGGAAATAGCATCTTGTCCCCTTGCAATTACTCCCACTGTGTAGCTTTCAGCGCTTTCGCTAACATGAATCAAGGAGAGAGAAAGCGTAGAGAGCGTGTGATAAACCACCGTGACTACGCTAGTGCTTGATAGAGTCTTAGAAGCTTTGTGGAAGTGGATTCTTGAGGCATTGAACTCCCACAATGAGGTCATTCGGTAATTACTAGAACACATGTTGTAAAGCCCCTATAAGAGTTGAAAGATTAAATCAAGATGAAGTGGAATATTATGACGTAACGGCTAAAAGCGCTCAGGAGAATCGAAGCAAATTGCGGCCACCGGCGAGAACAAGGTTATGGTGTGTGGATGGATTCTATCAAAACGACGTTCTTAAAAGTTTAATCGAGACGTTTCAATGAACAACGCTTCATGACATACAATTGCAAAGTAATTAAGCAAATGCAAGGCTGTTCTACAAATTATGTGTAAGTATTGCCCGTGAGCAACAACCTCAGTCAAAATTCAGTACTTACTGTTTGCTCAGATTTAATGTTACAAAAGTAACCATGAAGCTCTAAGAAAAATTTAAACATGTTTGGGAATAAAATATTTGCTGCCTGGATGATTCGATAGACAAATGGGATGAAACCCTGCTATAAACCTGGCTAGGACTGGAAGCTTTGCAGCAATTCTTCTTGTAATAGTTTATTTAGATCATACATGCAAAGGACCTAATAATTTCTGAACATATAACATTGTAACTTTTGTTCACTTCAATCGTCTACGACGGACTAAGTCAGTAATTTTCACATGTCTTAACTTGAAAACAGGCACACAGCTTAGCACATATGTTTAAATTGTTGAGCGTCGCATTCCGGACTGCATAAACGACATCTACACTGACAACACATAGTCCGAGATGACCCAAATTTACGCATGCGCTGCCACAGTCATGCATGATTGTATGTGGGCTACCTAAACAAATCGTAATTTGTAGATGTCAGCAGCTCAATCTAGAACGCACCACTAGAGCATTCCAGACAAGCTTGGAGTTTATGCGCAACTCTTTTTTATATTTGGTATTTTTAAGTTCTAATATACCGCTTAAAACTTTGAAGGTATTGCATTGATTATCGCGCGCTGAAGTATGCATGACCAAATATATCAAGATGAGGTAAGTATTTACAAGTACAGGGGAAGACAATAAAACCATACTTAACAGCTGCGAAAATTTTAGCACTGTTTAGCCCATGTTTTAGCCATGTTTTCGGAAAGATGGTGTCAGAAAGCTTTGCTTTAAATTTTGATACCTCTGACATTCTTCGAAAAAGTGTTCTATGGTTCCTGCTTGTTTACAATAGTAACATTGAAGGGAGAGAACAAAGCATGGTCTGTATAAATAAAAAAATTAGAGGCGGGGTTCTCCATAGCAATTGAGTTAATGTCACTTCAAATTGTCTTGTTTTACACCATGCATTAAACACCACGTATAAATTATCATGTTTTACACCATGAGCTATATCCCTGAAACCTAAAGTGCTGAAAATGTTCACCATTTACAAAAGGTCCCGCTCGATGATTGCGCCTTCGTTCTTTTCAAGCCCGACAGCCATAATGAATTGGGATAACATAATGCGGCATGATGACGTTATTGTAAGCCAGTTATTTCAAATTAAAAAGACGCACCAAAGTTGATGGTGCAGCAGGTTGCTATTGTTATAACTGATATATTATTAAAAGTGGCGTCGTCACAAATGGGTTGGACTACGAGAATATAAACGTTTTTACGTAAAAAGCTGAGTATATCAATTGAATAAACTGCAAAATACATGAGCACGGCCACACCCGCTAAATGGTTCTTGCTTCTTACTGTCGAACCAAAAATTTAAACTGAACTAGTTGTGGAAAAAAAAAAAGAATTCCATGACCCAAATTCTACGTCGTGCACGGTATGTTCCCATAGCAGCAGCTAGTAGAGACAGAAACAAGAACACCGACCAAATAGATTGAGGAGCCGATAGAAGTTTGGTAAGGAGTGATGCGCGAGAGCACGTTTTATGCACTGCAGTTGGAGAATGGGGGCAGCGTAGTCACGACACCTTTACATTAAATAAATGCAATCTTTACTTACGGTGGCCTTGGGAAAGGCGTAGGCCCTGGAGGAGGCCTTGAGGAAAGAAAGAATGGTTCAAAAGAGGAGAAAACAGTTAGTGGAAGGAATGTAGTCACGCGTACATGCTTCTTTATGAAAGCCGTTAAGTGCTTACGGTGGTCTCGGCACAGGTAGTCCTGGTGGCTGGTATGCAGGTGGTGGCCGAAGGGAAGGACGTTGGGGTCTAGGTAGGTTAATTTACACAACCATCAGTGCTCTGCCATCAAAGCATAATTATGTTAAATTCCCAGAAATAACTTCTCCGATATAGCGCATTGTTTTATTCACACTAGCTTTATGGTTATGCAGGTACATGCTCCTAGTAATGTTGAATGATAGCAGGATGACAGTATAAAGTTGTGTGATCGTACCACTGCGTCTGAAGACGTGAAGAATAAAGGGACAATCATGGGGCGCTTCGTTATATTGTCGCTACGTGGACAGCACACGACGCAGGACCACGGTGCAACAAGGAAAAACAAGGTATGCAGAGAACAGTACAGTACATCCTTGAAATTGTGGCACACAGCCACGCTGGGGGATTGCCAAAAACCGAATATTTTAATATGTCAACTCTTTTATTAAAGGTTGAATTTTGTCTGCATAAAATAAAGGAAGAGAAAATATTAAAAAGATGTTAGAATATGATAATATAGAATAGAAGTAATAAAGTGATTAATTTGAATAAAAGTTAGATAAACTTGGAAAAAAAAACTGCAATAAAGATTGATCTTCATAATTCTTTTTTTATTTTAACTTTACTATCTATTACTAATAAAAGCTTTACACTTTGTACCTTTGAGTGAGCATCAACATTTCATTCTAAGATTTTTAATATCTACATTCTATAGCCTCCATAATTCTGTAATCTCATAAGATTTCATCAGAAGACTCAATACTTGGCCAATCCCCCACAGTGGGTATGATCCACAAGAGAAGGTGAACAAGAGCAAGATTTTCATACGGAGGTCTAGGCACAGGTGCTGGTGGCTGGTATGGCGGACCGGGAGGGGGCCTGGATGGAGGAGGTGGGGGTGGCCTGTATGGAAGGATTATTTCTGCTTAATACATGACGTGTTACGCGAACTGGTGAACAGTGAAGAAGGGGGTAGTGTATTCTGATTGCTTACGGAGGTCTAGCCACGGGAGGAGGAGGAGGAGGAAACGAGGGTGGTGGTCGTGCTGGAGTAACTTGTGGTCTGCAAAATATGGCTCAGTTTTGCGTAACAGTTCACAGCACGTACCTCTTGCAAAAACGGCTACATGAACTACCACATTCGGAATCGTCTAATAAAACATTCTGCTATACATGCTCCAACCCCAAGTGTAGGAGATAAAATATCAGATACCAGATTATTTCACAGGTTTCTTTGTTGATTGGTGTACAGTTAGGTCTCCGTAAGAGCTAAAGAGGCGTATTTTGTCTGGTCTTGTAAGTGCATATGCTATACTTCCAGGATTTATGTGCAAGCAAGGCGGTATGATAAGAAGCATGGCATAATTTTAAATATAACGTATCTTGAAAAAAATGTTTTTGTTACCTTGAGAAGAACACACTTGGGTGTTTTTGTAATCATAGATTGTGGTGATTTGTCGTGAAACACACAAAAAAACCTCCCACGGCAATCCCAAGAAAAATGAAAAAGAAAATATCTGTTGTGTACCTTATCGACCAGGTTAACAGGTTGAACTATTCTAAAACAAGGCAACGACACAGTGAGCCCTATAAAGGGAAAGCTCACATAAACAGTTGAGTACCTTGCAAGCGGCCATTTTTACTACTGAGCACAATGCTTGCGAAAAAAAAATTCTCATTTTTGGTCACTAGCATTTCGTTTCCATGAAAATGCGTCCACCACCACCGGGATTCGATTCCGTTACCTTCGCATCAGCATTCCAGCATCATAATCACTAGACTACCGTGAAGGGTGACTGATGAGATAATGAATATCTAACAAATTGTACGTTAAAAACGTCGGACAGTTCAATATATACAGGCTGCTCATCAAATTTTCAGGACAATATGTCTGGCTAAATTTATTCATTTGACGGAATTCGGGAGTCCGACTGATGCAAGTTGACGCGCATTCAGACGACCGACAGAAATTTTCTGCATTGCTACCAGGCGAAACCATGCAGGCACGTTTCTTGTATTGCGGTGTTGACCCTTAAGAAACAGATAAAAGCCATAAGCTTGAAGAATTCGTTCGTTGTGTTTGGAAACCATGGTTTGCTGATGCGGGTGACATATTAGACTGTAATTTTGATGAAACTTTGGCGCGCATTATAGCTCTATATCTACCGAAAAACGAACACTATGGCGAATGGTTGCGGTATCAAGCAATTTGAAAGAGAGTGCCTCATTGGCAATCATGAAGGGTGTATTTAGGAATGAAATAAAAACCTAGGCAAGTAATCTTTACTTACGGCTGCCCGGTGAGAGACGGTGGTCGTTGAGGAGGTGCCGGGAAAGGGAATGGTGTTCTAAGATAGGATGCAATAGTTAGTACTGGCAGTATTGTCACGTAACTCATACTTTCTCGTGACATTCAAGAAGTCTTACGGTGGTCTGGCCACAGGTGGTGGTGGGGGCTGGTATGCAGGAGGAGGCCGAGGGGATGGACGCTGGGTGCTGTGAATGCAAATGTGCTTAGGATGCAATATTATGTCCACAAAATGAACGTTTGAAAATGTTATTTGTTGAACGCGGGAGTGTTTTATTCACTGCAATTCTTACCATAGAGCTAGCTCTAGCTTATAGTGCGCCGTAACTAGAAGCTACCTTTTTCATGAATCACGAACGCAGCCGGAACTCATGCCGTTCGCTGGAAAAGGGTCTAATGAACTGATCACGCTGCGTTGTACCAAACTTTGTGCTGTTGCTAAATATGACTGCAGATCTCGTCGACTCGCTGTTGCAATTAATGTCCAACTTGTATTGTTTTTAAGTTCTATCAGATTCTTCCTCTTTTGCCTCGCTCAGGAACTTCAAATATAAGACGATACTGTTGCGCTGTCCTAATAATAAACAGTTTTATTTGAACGAGCGCATCAGTGTAAGCCCATCAATGTTAATATTATATTGTTGGGCTATGTTGAAAATAATGCTCTTTCGTTCAAGGCTCTGTTTCTCTTGTCCAATATTTACAACGTTTACAACACTAAATTTTCACTTGAATGTTCACGTGCACTTGGACTTAGTTATTTCGCTTAATTATGTTTCTTTATTATTGCGTTTGCATGGGGGATATGATTTAGCTCTGGTAATCGCTCCAGTGGCCGCACTGAGACACCACTAAAAAAAGTTGCAATGAATATATGAGAAGCATTACGGCTGCATAATTCTATCATGGAAGGCTGCGATAGTAAAATCGAGATATACACGTACGGTGGTCTAGGTGAGGGTGCTGGAGGCTGATAAGGTGGACCCGGGGGGCTGTGAATGCGAAAACAATAATTTTCTTTTATTTGTTGAAAAGTTTCAAGGAAATTACGGGTTAATAAACAGATGGGGTTAGCACCAACATCCCTCTAGACATTTTCTAATTGTGAATGAATGTATACAACGGCAGAGGATGCATGCATATCAACCAAGATCTAGAGTGAAAAATTAATCAGCGGATGTTCTTTTAACTGTATTGATAAGCAGACGCGTGGCCGAGTGGTAGAACATCCGCTTGCCACAAAAACTACCCGAAATCGATCGCCAGTCTGGCCCAGGATTTTTAATAATTTATTTTAATTGCACCGTTCCCAAATTTTTGGTCATGCATAAGACAATAATTTTTTGTTTGCGACCAACGACGCCAACACCGGCGTCAACGCCAGAATTTCTGCGAAACAAGCTCTTTAATGCTATCGCGTCAAAATTTCTGTCTAAGACCTTGGCACATCGGTATGCCGGATCAATAGAAATATAAAAATATGATCGTACGGTGGTCTCGGCGAGGGTGCTGGTGGCTGATAAGGTGGACCCGGGGGGCTGGAAATGTGGAAATGGTTTTTTTGGTCAGCTGTTGAAAAGTTTTCAAGGTTTTACAGAGTATTAAACAGAGAAGGTTAGTCATCTCCCCACATATTTCTTGATATTTACCGAATATCAATTAAAGTATTTTATAACAAAGGATGTACGCGTAAACACAAAAAATCTGCAATGAAAAACTTAAGATCTGGTTTAACACCCCCACGCCCCCACCCCAAACAAAATTTTTTGTCTAAGGCTCTGGCATATCGGTACAGACTACTGAACGAAAATGTGAAAATGTATTCGTACGGTGGTCCAGGAGAAGGTGCTGGTGGCTGATAAGGTGAACCCAGAGGGCTGAAAATGTAGAAACAACCATTTTTTGGTTAGGGGTTGAAAAGTTTCAAGGAAATGCAAAAGATTGGAATTGGGAGTCTTACGGAGGTCTCGGCACTGGCGGAGGCCCAGGAGGGGGTCTTCGTGGAGGTGGTGGGGGTCTGTAAGAGAAGGTTCGTGCGGGTTCATGGTTGACTTATTGTCACTACTTCTGAGTGTAGTGACATTGCAGGATTTAGGCGTTTATTAAGGTGGTCTCGCCACAGGAGGTGGAGGAGGAAATGAAGGTGGAGGTGGTGGCAAAAGAAATTGCGTCCTGAAAAATTTTTATATGTTTATCTTACGAAAGCGTTTCGTTCATGGTTTACTGAATAACAGTGTCACTATTGAGCTATAATTGTTTGTTAAGATCGTCTTACTAGATTAATTTTTACGTGTTTTCTATCTCATTTTGTAACAGCCTCAGCAATTAACGAGGACACTCAAGGAAGGAGGAATAGCGCTATGCATCATCAGGCGTCTTCTTGTCTGTGCGTCTACAGCGTATTTTGTTCTGTGACATAACAGTCATATTTATTTATTTAAGTATTTATTTATTTATTTTACCTACTGTCAATCACAGAGGGATAAATACTATGGTACTAGAGGGACACTCTAATATAATGATTCAGTAATGTAAAATGAAACAAAAATTGTCGAACCTTGCGCCTATGGCCACTGTATTTCTGTTAAACGGAGCATTAGGGCATACTGAAAGCATAGAGGAAGCATAAAAGCATGTAGGCGCGCACTACCACACAGAAATATGAAAATATACTGTCCAAGGTGTCGGCATATCGGTAAAGTCGACTGAATAGAAATATGAAAATAAGATCGTACGGTGGTCTAGGCGTGGGTGCTGGTGGCTGATAAGGTGGACCCTGGGGTCTGGAAATGCGTGAATAACAATATTGTCGGTAGTTTTTATATGTTTCAAGGAAATGGGTAGAATTAGGATCGAAAGCCTTACGGTGGTCTCGCCACTGGAGGAGGTCCAGGTGGCGGCCTTGGTGAAGGAGGTTGTGGGGGTTTGTAAAGGAAGTTTCGTGCAGGTTGATGACTGATATAATATGGATACGTCAAAATCTATAAGAGTGGAAGATTTTGGTGTTTCTTACGGTGGTCTGGCCACAGGAGGTTGAGGAGGAAATGAAGGTGGGGATGGTGGTGAGGGAAATTGGGGCCTGCAATATATTAGCCAGTTTAATGTGAAGGTTCAATGCTTGAATTCAATGGGCGATGCGAATTCTACAAATCTTTAAGCTATTAGCAAGCTGAGAGCTATTGTTCACCGAGTGCCCTTTTAGAATAATGCTAAATGCCCTTGAACACTTTCAGAATAACTCCGTTCGTTTTATATTGTCCAAATATAACAGAACCGCGACCATTTTAACTATGAAAACTTCCTTTGCACTCCTTCTTTATCATCTCGCAGAAATTTCTCACGTTTAACTCTATTTCACAAGACATACCACCATCCCATCTTGCATGACCAACTACTACTTCGACCACAGCACATATCCCGCCGCCTTGACCACCATCACAAAATATAGGCATCCCTTCATGCAACACAAACACTTTCTTCAATTCATTTTTGCCTTGCACATCAAAGGAGTGTAACAGACTTCCCGGTGACATTGTTGCTATTAGCGATAACAACTTGTTCCCTAGTTCATTGGCTAACATTGTGTAATAAGTTCTTTGTGTTAAAATAGCTAACATTGTATAATTAGTTTTGGTATTGTATTGTCTAACATGTATTAATATAAAGTGTATCAGCCGATATTGTGCTCTTAAGAGATTTACTTGTACGATCAAACCATAATCATTGTTTTTTGTTAATTTAAAATTTTTATTGTAAATAACCCACCCCCCTCTGTAATGCCTTTTGGCCGTGAGGGTGAACTAACTAACTAACTAACTAACTAACTAACTAACTAACTAACTAACTAACTAACTAACTAACTAACTAACTAACTAACTAACTAACTAACTAACTAACTAACTAACTAACTAACTAACTAACTAACTAACTAACTAACTAACTAACTAACTAACTAACTAACTAACTAACTAACTAACTAACTGACTGACTGACTAACTAAGTAACTAACTAACTAACTAACTAACTAAGTAACTAACTAAATAACTAACAAACTGACTAACTAATTAACCAACTAACTAACTAACCAACCAACTAACTAACTAAATATTATCGGCCAGAACTTAGAATAACATTTACCATGCACTCAACCTAAGCTCACAAAACCACTGTACAGCTCTATTTTTTAGTCTTTTATTAAAAATTTTACTTGCAGAGAAAGCGGTAGCTTCAACCTTAAATTCTGACGGCATGTGACGTAAGCGAAGCTTAATAGAAGCTTTCGCTCGAATAGTGAATGATTTCTTCATAATTCATTGTTAAATAATGCAAAAGTTGCGTAGCGTAAGCTATTTGGGTATACGCGTCAGCTTTTACAAGGCTTGTAATTCTAAAGAACCCAATTAGCAGCGCCACTTACGCGATCCGATAAACTGAAACTTCAAATCAGCGCTCTGCAGATAAACGTACGTCTGACATGTAGTATGTGGTTTGGGCTCCTTCACTGGTTGATACAATGAAGCTCAATGCGCTGATTGCGTCAGGGGCTTACAATAGAGACTTACAAAGAAGGTTCAGCTTAAATTGAGGGCGATGCAGTGAGCGATGGAAAGAAAAATGATAGGCGTAACCTTAAGAAATAAGAACAGAGCAGAGTGGATCACAGAACAAATTGTCGTTAAGGATATTATTAAATGAAAAAGAGGAAATGGACATGGGCTGGGCATGTAGCGCGTAGGCAGGACAACCACTGGTCATTGAGGGTAACTGCCTGGATTCCCAGAGAAGGCAAGTGGGTTCGGCGGAGACATAAATTTAGGTGGGCAGATGAGATCAAAAAGTTTGCGGGTATAAAGTGGCAGCAAGCTCAGGACCAAATTGACTGGTGGAACACGGGAGAGGCCTTTGTCCTGCAGGGGAAATAGTCAGGCTGCTGCTGCTGCTGCTGCTGCTGCTGCTGCTGCTGCTGATGATAAAATGTGCTGCTTGCACATGTGAACCATTGTCTCGCGAGATTAACGTTCTAAAAAGAAGGTCTGGTACTTTGGTACCTGCAGGAACGCCATCGCATTATTAAGAGCATTGAGTATATTAGCAACTTATCTATTTATTTAACAAGAAAACAAACTTTTTAATTGATCTGATTCGTTGTAAGCGACGTAGCCACTTAGCACAAGCGCTCATGCTGTGTGCCTCCTGTTGCGTTTTTTAAAATGTATCTGTTGGTGTTTATCTCTCGCCATGCGCGCGGTGTTCTCTTTCATATTATTCCCGTATTTCCCGCTATGGGCTAAGAAGTCGAATATAATGAAGCGAATTGTGCTCACTTCTTCGCAAAAATTATTTCATTGAAGCTGTGACGTTACATGCGGAACATGCAAGCAGAATATTTCGAAAATCGCCAAAAATAATTTTTTAATTCTTGCGCAGAGTTTAAAGAAATGGTCATATTGACTTAATATGAGAGCAGTGTTTGCAAATGACGATAATAGACATATATGAAGGGCGTATGGCGAACACGATCTGGTAATATTAGTTGCGATGAAGCTTCAACATGGCCACTGAGCGCTAAATTTTGTTATGCCTATATTTCACTACATGTGTTAGTGGCATGAGAAAGAAGAGCAGAGGGGTATCATACCTAAGGCTATCGGTTGTGCCACTTCGAGCATCTAGACATTCTTTTGTCTACAGAAAAATGTAGCTTTAATACGCGTGTGAAAAATTAGCAGCGAAAGTGATTAGTGGGCTGGTTTCTTGGTATCAGGAAGATGCGACAGTGTTGAGAGCTAATAAATGAAGTTTGTGGAAAACCTACGAGATGTGATGTTACAAGTCTCCCAACAAGAAAGCTAATGTTTATAGCAACTTTAGCTCCAGTGAGAAACTGACGCGGTTATGTTTTTCACGGCACAGACTTTGTCCAGATATTGTTTAAAAAAGAGAAATTACACGGTCAAATAACAAGCTGCACGAACAGATGAAGCACATGAGCTTGCCATGGCTATTTCCATTTCTGCCAAGCATGGCCGCCTTTCGGAGTATAATGGCTTTTGTTGTATACATGTAGGTATACATGTACCACAATGTTATATAGTGGATCGTTATTGAAATTGTTGACCATGGAGCGTGAAAATGGAAGTTGTGTCTGTCATTTAAGCTGTGTTGGATTGAGCTAACCTAAATACGAAATTTCCGGCAAACCTGACGGTAGCCTCGCTAAATGAGGAGGCCTTGTTCGAGGAGGTGGCTTTCAATATTGGATGCACTTGAGGTGTCAGCGCTACCGGATGATAATAACCGCATATTATGACAAAATGGTGCAATATGTTCTCACGTTGCTCTGGGGACAAGTGGTAGTGCTTCCTGTGGTCTCAAAAAACGCAGAGAATGTACTATATGAGGCATAACTGAGTGCTGACGTGGTTAGTGCGGATTCTCCAAAGATATGATTGTCCTTACGGTGGTATAGCCGATGGAGGAGGAGGGGTATAGGCCGGAGGTGGCCGCCGTCCAGGTGGGCG